GGTTAGGTGTATATTAAATAAGCTTAAGGTGATCTAACCTTCCGAGATAAAGCTTAATATGATCTAACCTTTGGAGAGGTAACTTGATGTGACCTAACATATTAGGTACCCTAACCTTGTTAGATTGTGTGCAAGTACTCACCACCTGCTGCTATTCCAGAAGGTCAGGTAATCCCATGCACTCACTATCCCATTCTCACTATTCCACAAGGTTAGATTATTCCAATACATTACTTCAACGAATTGTCACTAACCAAATAACCTGTTTTAATAACATAACTCGTATGGAAATCCTTCACAGCACTACCACCAAGTTTGTATATCGAAAAGGTTATTGATAAAGATGATTCACTCCACTATTCCACTGAGTTTCTTATTCACCACCTTACCTTCAAAACGCGACAGAGTTTAAATAACCTGTCTTAATATACTAACTCGTATGGAATACGGAAGAATGGAAGTAATACAAGTAACCTGTATGATATACAAACCTTTATGGAATTCCAAGCATGGTGTACCATCGGATTTCGGTTGGCACCACTTACCTGCTGCGCACTTCCGGTTCGGGGCATAGGTTGGTAGTCCTTCACTGACGAGTTATACAGTAGGTTGGCACTTCTGCGGGTTCTGACGCACGACCATCTTGGTAACCATTGTTCGATGACTGATTATTCTTCGCAGTACTACATTCCTTTGTATTTTTAGCCTGCCTTTTCTGAAGCGACAGCCATCTCGGTTCGGGTTGCTGCGTCGCTCATAACTATTGCGAATATGCCACTGCTTCCGTCGAACGATTTTTTCGGTTGGCAGTAATGAATTGTTCCCGACGACTGTTTTTTCAGGTTGGCAGTCCATCAGTACCACCGTATCCGTCATGTTGCCACTCCTGCGTTTACTGGCGAACGACCATCTACATCCCATTTGCTCCGTGACTCTGCCGCGTTGGCAGCATTGCATCAGGGCTAATTTACGTTCGGGTTGGCAGTGCTGAAGTATCGTTCACATCTGGTCCACTTAGTAAGTTATTATTCCAATCGATATTAATTTCCTGAAAACGAACGATCGATGATTGAGGAATGCATGTACGTATAACTGTGTGTTGCAATTAGACATGCACCATGAAAATGTTGATTCAGAATAGCCAACCTTAGTTCAGGCATAGATTATATTGAAGCAAGGTGGGTCGCCGAAGTAGGTATGGCAACGTGAAATTGTATAGGAATTCAAAGCTGCCAACACGAAATAGTCATAGAGCAGCTATAATCAAGATGGTCATTAAGCAACAGCGCAGGAGAGCCAACATGATAACTGAAACTGTCATCCGCAGAAGCACCAACCTGAAAACGTAAAGGGATATAATACTGCCAACCTAACAACAATTAGTCATAGAGCAACCTCGACATAGATGGTTGAGTGCAGTAAGCCACATCTCAGAAGCGCCAACCTGAAAGTGTAATGGAATTGAATACTGCCAACCTGAAGGATTCACTGCCGCGATTCGGAATAGCCAACCTCAGTGAGACCGAGAGCACCTGGAACCAAGATGGTCAAGAAACAGCACTGCAGTAAAGCTAACTTTAAGCATATCGCGACAGTGAAGGACTGCCAACGTAATAACCGTACCGGAAGTAACAGCCGCGTAAGTACTGCCAACAGCATTGAGTCACAGAACACCGGCAACCTAGACGGCTGTGCTGCATTATGCGGCAACTCAATAGTACCAACCTGACGGAAATCGCGCGAGCGAAGGATCGCCAACATAAGAGCGGTGTGACATACGGTAGGACTGTTAACTTGAAAGAGTCAGTCACTGAGCAGAGGAAAGCTGCGTGAAAATTGTCAACATGATGGGTATAGAGCCAGTGAAGGATTGTGAACATGACTACGTTTCCATCGAGGGTCCAAATCGGGTCAGAGTCGGGTTAGAGTCGGGTTGGGGTCAGCGCTCGTACGGTGGAAACGCCAAAGGTTTAGTTGAACTCTACCCTACAAAATTTTAGGGTAGCGTTCAGTTGAGGTTCGGTGGAAACGACAAGAGTCGGGTTCGTGTTGCCAACATAACAAATCCAAATTGCATTGTGTATCACGTGCTGTATTAATTGGTGTAGAAGAGGTTATTATTACTTTTTGTCGGTGATCTTGTAATCTGAGAAATAATTTTTGTATGTTATTTTGATATTCTAAAATTAATATTGCTCAGCTTTACATGTTAGAATATGGTAGTTGACTTTGTGCAGTTGGTAATGTTCAACCCAACTCCAACCCCAACGTAACTCTGATCCCATGGAAACAGGCAAGGCAACTTAACTCTAACCCGACTCTGACCCGATTTGGACCCTCGATGGAAACGTAGTCATGTTCACAATCCTTCACTGGCTCTATACCCATCATGTTGACAATTTTCACGCAGCTTTCCTCTGCTCAGTGACTGACTCTTTCAAGTTAACAGTCCTACCGTATGTCACACCGCTCTTATGTTGGCGATCCTTCGCTCGCGCGATTTCCGTCAGGTTGGTACTATTGAGTTGCCGCATAATGCAGCACAGCCGTCTAGGTTGCCGGTGTTCTGTGACTCAATGCTGTTGGCAGTACTTACGCGGCTGTTACTTCCGGTACGGTTATTACGTTGGCAGTCCTTCACTGTCGCGATATGCTTAAAGTTAGCTTTACTGCAGTGCTGTTTCTTGACCATCTTGGTTCCAGGTGCTCTCGGTCTCACTGAGGTTGGCTATTCCGAATCGCGGCAGTGAATCCTTCAGGTTGGCAGTATTCAATTCCATTACACTTTCAGGTTGGCGCTTCTGAGATGTGGCTTACTGCACTCAACCATCTATGTCGAGGTTGCTCTATGACTAATTGTTGTTAGGTTGGCAGTATTATATCCCTTTACGTTTTCAGGTTGGTGCTTCTGCGGATGACAGTTTCAGTTATCATGTTGGCTCTCCTGCGCTGTTGCTTAATGACCATCTTGATTATAGCTGCTCTATGACTATTTCGTGTTGGCAGCTTTGAATTCCTATACAATTTCACGTTGCCATACCTACTTCGGCGACCCACCTTGCTTCAATATAATCTATGCCTGAACTAAGGTTGGCTATTCTGAATCAACATTTTCATGGTGCATGTCTAATTGCAACACACAGTTATACGTACATGCATTCCTCAATCATCGATCGTTCGTTTTCAGGAAATTAATATCGATTGGAATAATAACTTACGACCTGTTGTTTACACTAGGTTAGGTAGTTAAAAAATAAAAACATGACGGCCTTGTATTTAGAGCACTATTTGGATAGTAAGTAATCAACCCTTTTTTTCCTATCGGCAAAATAATTTAGATCGCAAATAAAATGCGAGGTTACGATATCGACATAAACCAACTACCCGATAACGAGACACATTTCTTATTTGAAGGTTTGGAGCATTTACCTATCGAATTACAAAGGAATTTTACATTGATGCGCGATTTGGATGCTAGGGCACAAGGATTAATGAAAGACATTGACAAATTAGCCGACGACTATTTGAAGAATTACAAGAAAGAGTCACCGGAAAAGAAGAAAGAACAACTCGATCATATTCAAAACTTATTTAATAAAGCCAAAGAATACGGTGATGACAAGGTTCAATTAGCGATACAAACCTACGAGTTAGTGGATAAACATATCAGAAGGTTAGATTCAGATTTGGCAAGATTCGAAGCGGAGATACAGGATAAAGCTTTGAATAGTAGTAGAGCGCAAGAAGAGAATAATGCTAGTAAAAAAGGTAGGAAAAAATTGAAGGAAAAGGAGAAAAGGAAGAAAGGTGCTGCCGGCGCCAGTAGCGAAGATGAGTCCAAAACAGCTAGAAAGAAACAAAAAAAAGGTGGATCTGTTGCTTCTGCTTCGTCCGTTGGTGCTGTAGGAAGTGGGGCTCAAGTTGATTCTACCGCGCTTGGCCATCCAGCCGATGTTTTGGACATGCCGGTTGATCCTAATGAACCGACGTATTGTCTTTGTCACCAAGTTTCTTACGGAGAAATGATCGGTTGTGATAATCCCGATGTAAGTTCATCTCATAAGTGTTTTACGATCTATATGTTCGGCCTATCCCGACAATATTGTGCGTAATTTTATTCATTTATTTCTTTCTTCTAGTGTCCTATAGAGTGGTTCCATTTTGCTTGTGTCGGATTAACTACCAAACCTAAAGGGAAATGGTACTGCCCCAAATGTACGCAAGATAGGAAAAAAAAGTAAGTGTTAGGAAATGGATAAATATATTTGTCTATTTTACAAAAAAATTAATAAAAATACTCGAACGTTATTTCTAAAACTAGGATATAACCCTTTTCATGATTCAAACGTGAAACCAACTTAAATTGTGTGAAAAAAAAAAACGAGAAGTTTGTAAACAAACAAATGTACTGAACTATGTATTTGCATTGCGTCTAATATTTTTATTACAAACAAAATCGTGCTCTTGTCTCGGTTAGGTTAGTATCGTTAAAAAACGTAAAAAACAAAAAGATATTTTCTTCTTTCGGACAGTTTGTAATACTCTTAACTGTATGCGTGTGTGGTACAAACTGCGGAAACAGATATTATATTAGATGCGATGGAAATACAACGAAATATTAGCTTATCACGGAGAGAAAGATTTGAGAATCGGCCATAATTATTATCCTCTTTATATTTCGGTTTTATGTACAAAGTAGTAACTTAACGATTGGCCGTTTTTTGAACATCTGTGATTTGCTTGTTAACTTTATACTTATTATATAAGTATTAAATCATAATTATAATATTGAGGTAAAAATTATTACTGTTTTTATATTTTATAAATGTAAATGACATTGTATAGAATAAATTTTTTGTTGAAATAAAGTATATTATATCGAAAAACAAATTTCTAACAGCGCTGTCTACTAAACGGATATATATATACAAGCTTGTATGTACAACAGTCGATTATAAATTCTAATATAAAATGTATGTTTTAATACGATAAAGTACTGATTAGATTTGTAACTAATTTATGAAAATTTTTTTATATTTCTTCTTTCTAATAACACGGTATTTACAGGCAATGAAAAAAAAAAATTCTTATATATATATACATGTGATAAACAGGTACAATAGTTTATCGAGAAACGACTAGAAATAAGGAAATATTCGTTTACTAAGGAATGCCGGATTGCAAATAACAACATTGACTCGGTGGAACGGTCCAATTGTACTGATAACTCATTCGATTTCTGATTTCTTTCGCGCATAACGCTCCAGAAGCTTGATAATATTCGTGCATGTTTTTCATATTTTCGATCGTTTGTTTGTGCGTTACTATATATTGATTCGAGCATCCTCGTGATCTGTATTCGGTATCGAAACGCACGTCGTGTCTTCTTTCGATGTTTGCTAAAGGTGCTAACCAAAGACCTACGGATACGTCTTCCGCTTTATACAATCTAAAAATGTCAATTATTCGGATTGGTTTAGTTGCATACATAAAATAGAAAAAAAACAAATTTTTACTTCACCCTACTTGAGAATATCCACGTTCGAAGCGATAAATTTCACTAAATTGTAGGACAATGCGTATCCACCTCCTAACGCGTAAGGAAGATAATAATCGCATAGTATCCAATCAGTTTCTTTCCAAGGCCCGCTTCGTTTGACTTGTGCCTTTCCGTTGAAAAAACCCCAGTATAACTCTTTCTTCGTTCCTTTGTTCTCCCATTTATCTAGTTCTTTTAAGAGTTTATGTACCAAAACGAACGTGTCGTCGTCGCATTTGAACAGAAAATTAAAATCATAATATTTGTAAACTTCCTTCAGCGCGTACAAAACTTTTTTCGTTAAAGTTCCGTAAGAGTCCGGTATCCTGGATAACAACAATAGGTCGTTGAACTTTTGTTTTTCCGATTGTAAAGTTTCCCTTTGCTCCGACAATAAGTCTAATGTTCCTATTACGAAAAAATGCTTCACCGTAGCTTGCTTCTGTGCTAGCCAAGTTTTTCTGATAGTTGCTCTTTGCTCCAAGTTATCGGGGCTAGACAATATAAGTATCATGAGCCTAAATTTTCCTTTATTCTTAACTTCTCTGTCATTCTGTAAACACTTTGTAGCAGATAAATAATGTACGCACAAGAAAACGATTGTTATTATTATCAACAATGTTGGAATATTTAATTTTACATGCAACTTTTTCCTGATCATCGTGTATAGACTTTTCGAAGAGGGCCTTAACGGCAAAAGCGTTACAGAATCCATTTAATAAACAAGTATTTGTCAGAAAGATTTCTAACCTTCAAACATTATCTTCGTACATACATGATTCGATACTGTACAACTCTTTAAATCCTTCTTTTTCCGATATTGTATTATTTTAACATTATTCTCCAAGACCCTCGATTCTATAATTTCGCACGGTTCTTCCTTACATGGTAAAGCGTACTCTTAATTTCTCCAATTTTTTATTCGCGTTACGCGCATCGACGCCGATTGGTTCGAATACGCTCCGGAATCGAGAGCAACGCGCATATTCCTTCGGGACGTCGGTATGTTTAGTGTATTTCAAATATTTCATGATTTTTTTTTTTTTTTATTTTCCATACTATATCGAACTGTATACCCCTAAGATTGATATCGATGTATACCAAATCAAATCCTAAATTGAAGGGTTACAAACTTTTCGAGGGTCAATATTTTACGATTTTAAAATATTTAGAAATACTCAAAATCTCATAATTTCAATATCTTCGGACACTGATTGTCCGAAATTGGATAAATCTTCTTCGCATTGGAATGAGTAACAACGCATGTAAATTTCTTAACCAGTGATTCCTTTATTTATTGTTTTCAGCAAATTTTGATACGGATACGAACAACCACGGTTCTGCAGTCTCTTTTAAACTTCAGACTTACATATCTGTTTATTGTTCCACTAAGTAACCTGTTAAAAGATAACCACCCGTATCGCTGGTTAATATATCAGGATGTGTTCTGTCTGGTAAAATTTGATATGAACGTAAAAAATTGGAAAAGAGTCTTAAGTTAATGACGTTCTGTTTTTGTCTAAGCGTTATGTAAGTCTCTTGTAAAGGTTCACGATGTACATGATAAATTACGAATGGTCTGGATGCTCCTAGAAAAGGTAGGAGGGCAAGAATAATATTTAAAGGATGTTCTCTAGCTATAATAACTAATCCTCGAGCTTTCGAATCTTGCACCAGTTGTATAGCGTGTTGTGTTTTTAAAAACCATTTTGGCTTTTTCGCTGCTGTAACTTCCGTAGATTCATGCTCGGATTCGTCCAATTTTCGTTTCGACACGGTTATATTACTATCTGTACCTTGTTCTTCTTTAATTTTGTGATTTTCCATGATTTCGCTAGACACGTTAAATTTTTCTAAACAGCTTTCCGTATTTATCTTTTCCTCTTTTACTTCCTCTTTTACTACCAAAATTTTTTCGCTGTCCTTATTCTCCTTTTCTTTCGTCTTATTTTTCCAATTATTATGTATTTTCTTCGATATGTTGTTTAAAAGGGTACTTTCTCCTTGATAATGTAATCTTAGAAAACTATAAATGTTAACGTTAATCAGTCTATCTAATTGTTCTACAGGGAAATTCATACTGTGAATCAACGTTGCCTGATGCACGTTTCCAGGATGTAAATTGATCAGATGTCCTTGCGTATTTTCACCGATTCTACTTAACATTGCAGCTGCGGGTAGACCTTGACATCCGCTGTCGTACAATATGTATAATCCCTCCGACTGAACGTCGCTGTACGATAACAATTGTGCCAAGGTATCCATTCTAAGATTTCCAATTTTGCTATGATCTAGTTTAAAGTATACGTCGTGTAAGGATGTTATATCCGGTTTACGTATAGTTAAATATCGTACGTATTTTTTTTCCTTTTTCTTCAAATACTTTTCTTGCGAATATTCTGTTCGATTTAAAAAAGATTTATTATTCTCGATCAAACTACCCACTATTTCCTTACTACTTCTTCCAGACTCTTGAAGCTGAAGTATCTCCTCCTTAGAAAGTTTCTGGGATGTGCCATCGTCGGTGATGGTGCGATTATCGTTGCCGCTTGGTAATGTGCATAATAAATCGTTCAGTGATTCGGTTTTTATTGTTTCTTTCAAGAAAAATGTTCGTTTTCCATTTTTTGCCGGTATCATTTCGAACGTGGTCCAAAAAGGTTTCCCGATAATTTCACTCATGTCTACCAAATCCTTTCCCAACATTAAACTACCCCCGACTGTTGCTTTGTAAACTTTTTTGAAGTTCAGTTTACTCACTATCACGTATTTACCTGCTGTAATTATATTGTCTTGCGTATCGCACATTTTTCCTTCGATATTATGAACTTTTTCGAAGAACGCGTCTGTACAAGTTAACGTGTCATTTATAGGTTAAAGATGTTTTCGTTATCTTTTCGGTACAAATAGCAATAGTTCCTTCGTACACTTTGCTTTTACTTTGTGTCCGTACCAAATTATTTATATATTAAGATTAACACGGTTAACGTATAAATATATCATAATTTGATGTAACCTATAAGAAGTATACGAGCGTTAAAACACGTTGCTGAAGATATACCGAACATCTGTCATTGAAGGTTAAGGAAACATACGAAAATAAGAAAAGATTTTTTACTTCGTTCGTGTAGATATTGTTAGAAGCGAACTATAAACTTGTACTATGAAATATTATTAATTTTCATATTACTCGAAATTATTGTCTTTAATATTTATTATTATTTCAATTACAGCGAATATAAACAATGTTTCCTCACAAAGAATTTCAAGCGATTGTACTTGCTGGTGGAGGAGGATCTCGTATGACGGAACTCACTCATGGAAAACATAAATGTTTGTTACCGATTGGAAATGTGCCGATGATTTGGTATCCGCTTCAATTATTGGAGAACACTGGCTTCAAAGAAGCCATCGTTGTCGTATCTGAAAATATGGAAAACAGTGTACTGTCGTCTATCGCCAAGTTGAATTTAAAAATTAAGGTGGATATTGCTTCCGTTGAAGACGCGGAAGAACTTGGTACTGCAGATTCTATCAGACTGATTCACGAAAAAATATATACAGATTTTTTGGTAATCTCCTGTGATTTGATCGCCGATGTTGACATATCTGAAGTTTTAAATCTGTATAGAAAACACAATGCCAGTATCACGGCGTTGCTGTTACCTACACCCAAGGTGCCCGAGGATTTTGTAACTCCAGGCCCTAAGAATAAACAGAAACCGGAGACTGATTTGATCGGTATTGATAACGAAACAGGACGTTTGGTTTTCTTAGCCTCTGGTTCAGATTTCGAAGAAACTATAAATATTTCGCAAACGCTCCTTAAAAGACATCCAAATTTTACTCTTCATTCGAAATTAATGGATGCTCATTTATATGTTATCAGAAGATGGGTTTTAGATTTTTTGATGCATAACAAGTAAGTGATATAGTATAAAAAAATACGTTTTTAATGTATAACTTTAGTTATTTACATTTTTTTTTTTATAGAAACTTAACTACACTGAAAGGCGAACTTCTTCCATATATCGTAAGTAAACAATTTTCTAAGCCTCCTAAACAATGCGTGGACGATAAGAATACTTCGCTGGTACAAGTAAACTTAAAAGAAGATATTTACCGCTTCGCGGTAGAAAAATCACTGGACGAGTTGATTAGAAAAATGTCAGCGTATAACGATCGCAGTACCGATTTAGAGGATGGATATAACGGTGACATAATTAGATGCTACGCTTATATTGGTAATGGGAAATTTGGTTTAAGAGCAAACACGATACAAATGTATCACTTTATTAATACCAAGGTAAATATTTATAATTAAAGAGTTTCAAATTAAAAAGAGATACATTAATAAAATATGCGTTTCAGATATCCGAATGGTGGAACGTCGATAACAATGTACAACCTCGTTTAAAGAACGTTTCACCTACAGCCACTGTACATAGTACACAGATACAAGGTTGCAGTATAGATGATAATTGTACGATTTCTGAAAAAACCTCCTTGAGAGAAAGTCACCTTGGACCAAACACAGTTATCGACTCTAAAACGAGAGTATCTTACAGTACTGTAATGGAAAATGTAACAATTAAACAAGGGTATTTCAAATTAATTATGCTTTGCATTTTAAGACGAAAGTGCAACGTTTTTTTTTTTTTTTTTTCATTTCCATTAATATTTGTAGGTGTGTAATACAGAATTGTATATTATGCAATTGTTGCTTCATAGAAGAAGGTACAGAACTAAAAGATTGCATCGTTGGTCCTCAGCATACTGTAACAGCTGGAAGTCAACATTCTCGCGAAGTTCTCACGGATCCGGATAAGCTCATAGAAATTTAATCGTTTAGAACAAACTAGACGAATTAGTTGCTTAAGTAAAGACTAAATTTATAAAACTAGGCATCTCTTCTATAAAATGATATTTAACTTTTATTTTAAAAAATTTTTCATTTTGAAAATCGATAATTTTATAACCGCAAACATGAATATTTTTAAAATACAATCATGTGAAATCCAAAATTATGTTTTGATCATTAACCTTTGAAATAAGAATTAATTTTTTATTTCGGCGTATAGTAAGTACATAAATATTATCACAGATTGAGGTTATGATTGATCCGAATCAACCTGAACGAAGGAACGTGTGGTTTTGGAACCGGACTGAACGTCTCTTTCTGTGTTGCTCCGTTGTATGAAATGGTAAGCGCGCGTTCAAGATATTAAAATCTGTTTATATCGAAGTAATCGTAAAAATTCATTGATTCGGATAAGTTAAGAATTACTTATTAAGTCCTTTGGAAATAATATAAAATAGTAATTACGGCGCAAACGATTGAAATAAACTTATATTAATGTTATACGATATTTTGGGGTTATAAGGAAAGTGTGAACAGTTTGACGCAATACGTAAACGGTGTTACATTCGTTGTTGATTACGTTTAGATTTTTATTTAATTTCTACCGATTATTGTTAGTATACTGATAATTCGGTGAACTTAAAATTTTATCATCTTTAAATTTTCACAGACGAAGGGTACGTCAAGTTTTGGAAAACGCCGGAACAAGACACACACATTGTGTAGACGATGTGGTCGTAGTTCGTATCATATTCAGAAGTCACAATGTGCTCAGTGTGGATATCCACAGAAAAAAATGCGATCATGTAAGTAAATTGATAACATATTTTTAACGACTACTTAAGGAACATAATCTTCATCGATACAGATGTAAAAATTGTTCATTGTTTAGAAGTAATTGCTATGTTTGGCTTGGATCTATATATTTATCTGAAATAATTTTATAAACTGTAGAATGAATAATTTCACTAATTGTGCAACATAAATTTCAGATAATTGGTCTATAAAAGCTAAGAGGAGGAAAACTACCGGCACAGGTCGTATGCGCTACTTGAAGATTGTTCGTAGAAAATTCAAGTAAGTTTTATAAGAAATAAGAACAAAGCGGATAATAAAATCGAGGCTGCCATTCATAAAAATACGCTTGAACAAGACCTTTATTAAAAAAGAAAATATTTTTAAAGTTAACATTAAATATTTCGAAAATGTTTCAATCGTAGTTCTCCGTATTGTTTCAGAAATGGATTCAGAGAAGGTTTGCCAAAACCTAAATCAGTTCAAGCTAAGTAATCTAACATCTTGTCATTCTGTTATGTATCTATATACGATTTTGACTACGAATAAAACAGTTTGAAAAATACCAAAAGGCAGTCTATATTATTTTTTGTTTCGAAATAACCCTAACATGATCAATTTTAAATTGATAAAAGGAATGAAATTCGTGCAGGTATAAATGAACAGCGAATTACCAACTATATCGTTAATACTTTATCAACGTATAGAGTAGGAAATATGATATATACATAATACAAAAGATATACAAATTATTGAAAGAGGGGATGGTCGTACTCTGCGCAAACGCGGCGGAACTTTCGATTGTGTCCGACCATATAATTATCTTCGTTCCGTCTATTTTTGTTCAGTAACTCGCAAATTTATAATGCAAAATGATACCTTATATTCACTCTTAAAATCTATTTAAGAGACTATTGCTCTTTAGTTAAGAAAAACGGTATGTTACGGGACCGTGTTCAACTGACATTCCGCCTTCACAAACATCAAAAAATCAAGAATAACCGCATGATTATATAGCGTCTGCGCTAAATAAAACTGAGGAAGTTTTATGAAGAATTACATGTAAATAAAGAAAGAAAAGTTAACGAGATAAAAAGGAAGTATTTTTGAAGTTGGAAAAATTTCAAAGATTTCACCAAGTACGCCTGAAGGTCATTCTCTACAGATGACTGTTTTGAAGAAATTATTTGGTTTGTATAAAAAATTTTCTATTTCTATTACTATATAAAATACTATTAACGATAAGAATTTTAAATTGTTAAACGTACGTTCGGTATAATAAAATGAAAAGTTCCATTGCTGATAAGCAATTACGTTTGGTGAATAAAAGATATTAATAAACGTTTGATATTTGTAGGCAAGTACCTTTTGGTCACGAACACTGTTAGTTGTGGTTTGATGATGGCAGGGGCAGATATGATCCAACAAAGGCGTGAACACTGGAATAAAGGCAACGAAAATTTGTCGAACAGAACTCGCGTGATGGCAGCATCGCCGGACGATGAACAGCGAGAAGAGTTCAGTAACACTGCAACGTACATACATAATTATATGCGAACTAGAAACATGACAGCGGTGGGTTTACTTCAAGGTCCGTTCCATCATTGGTTCTACATGATGTTAGATAAAATGTTCCCTGGCAAGAACACTTTAACCGTTGTTAAAAAGATGTGTCTCGACCAAACGATCGCGAGTCCTATCTGCTTGGGCATATTCTTCGTAGGTCTTGGTGTATTGGAACATCGCAAAATCGAGGAAATATACAAGGAACTGAAAGCGAAATTGTACGATACGTGGAAGGTATCTAATAAATTTTATTTCGTAAAAAAAAACCAATAAAATTGCCAATTTATCTATGTTTGATATTCATTTTTTAAGGTCGATTGCTGTTTTTGGCCTCCCGCTCAATGTGTAAATTTTCTTTTCGTACCTCTGCATTATCGAGTACTGTATACGAATTTTATGACAATGATCTACGATATTTTCTTGTCGTACATGAAATACGTAAGTTGCAGTTTTCTTCTTGGTCAAATAATAACTTTTTTTTTACTTATCGCAATAAAATTCGTCACATTTATTACTCTTTCTTTTACAGGATGCTCAGTATGAAGAGTGACACATCTCTGAGACAATTTAAATTACGTAAATCGCTGAATTTATTAATATTCATTTCATTGCTGATTACATATAATTAGTATCGTAATACCATATAATATATACATATTGTACTAAAAAAAGAATAAAGGAATTGTTGTTTTCATGTAACAAATTATGCACGTATGATTTTGAAATCCCATTATCGATTTAGTTGGATATCTCTGTATGTTAGATTATATTCGCGGTTAATAACATGAAAGATCAAATAAATACTGCAGTATTCATTGAGACTTACGGTGGCGTCAGGTGTTTCGAAACGACGCTTATCGAAACATTTATCACATGAGACAATGTATGTGCAACTGTGATGCATCTTTGAAGAATTTTCGTTCGGTTTCTTATCGAGCGTAATAATCGTCTATTGAATGTAAGTTGTTTATTAGAATGACAGCTTTTGTTTGTCATTCGGCGGCACTGAGATTATTGTCTTCTAAGCCGTCAGTCGCCAACGAGCAAATACCGATTATAGAAGTGTAAATACAAACAATAAACCGTGCAAACGATAAACAAGACTGTTGGATATTTGTGTACTTCCCATAATTAAGGGTTATGGATGATTTTATCCATGAAGATTAAGTTAATATATCGAGGCATTGTTTTTATGTTCAACCACTTGCTAAAATATGTATTTTAATCGCTTTTTCATTCATTTTCTATCGAATTTCCAAATTTCGTTATACGGTGAGATACCTAACAATGAAATAAACGAGTAATTTCTACAGTGAAACTTGAAAGGAAATTTTGAAAAGTTAAGCAATAATAGTTTAGAATATAGTTACAACCGAAACATAATTAATATTTATACGACTTTGATCGATCGACATTCTATTGACAATCATTTACGTTCACCGTCCCTCGTTTGTTTGTAAATAGATTTAGTAAATATTCTCTCTCTCTCTCTCTCTCTCTTTCTCTCTCTCTCTCTCTCTGAAAAATACAGCTTTATATTTATGGATTGTACAAATTCAGAAATTATTATAACAATAAATACTTTTTTCCAAAAATACATTAATTTATTAAACGTGTAACAAAACTGTTAATACCGTTGGTACAAACGAATAATATTGTTTTTATACCTTGTATTTGTTGTTAAAAATATCAAAATATCAAATTAGCGGATGAAACAGTTGTTACAATGTTTGCTTAATATCCATCTATGATTATCCATGATTAAATTGATCACGAAACGGTGGTAAATTGAGAACTCGAGCAGCGCCGAGGAGTATCAATGCTGAAAAACATTAAACACAGCAAAATGTTTGCATAAATCATATTTATTTAATATGTGATCTATTCGTAATTGTAGCAAAAAAAAATATCAATTATAAGTCAGATATCGAAGCGAAACTAATACAAAGCAATTTTTAAACGTTAAAAAAAAGAACAAATTACCACTTCCAATTGAATACATTATAGATTTTCCAATAGTCTTTTGAAATTTTTTTGAATGATGGGAAACATATAAGCCAGAACCTATAAGACCAAAACCACTAAAAATTCTGCATCCCAAACAATCTCGATTTCGATTATTAATGATGCTGTTCACTGCACTCGACGTTTCTTGCATTTTTTTGATTTCTAATTATTAGATAAAGTTCGATGAAATTTCTTCCTAGAGCAATTCTGTCATGATATTTTATAGGTTATGTTTAAGCCGCCATATTCGTTTACAACGAATCGAAATTTTCAAATTCTTTCTCTCATAGACTTAAGTGTTATTCATTTATAATAAAGAATACAATAGTTTATTTCGATAAACGCACAAATATTACAAAGTCAATGATCATAATTTTACTGAACCGATTATTCGACTTAAAATAGATCGGTATTTATTATTCATTTTTTAAATCAAATACAAATACAATTTATTTATTAATAATTAACGATTAAATAGAAGCTAAATCAATTGAAACCACCTACGCTTACTGTTTTATTGAAAAAAAAAAAAAATTAATTTCTTTTAAAGTTTCGTGTTATAAATGCGGGTTTTCCCTCGATTCGAATAATATAGAATTTATAGTACATTTAAAATGAAAGAACAGTAATAAATAAAATTTTTTAGGTGTAAAAATTGTAAATTTGATAATTTCCATTGTTTCCTAGTGTCACTCATTCAATGAGCTTCTTTGTTTTGAAGAAACGTCTTAAGTAGAAAACTTGCCAAGTGGAAAGAACAAAGAGCCAACACATGGAGAATATACTGAAATATAACACTCGGGTATTTGTTGCCTCTGAAAATTAAGAAAACATATTTGTTTGAAAGATCGAATTTCCGAAGAAAAATAAAAAAGGAATTATGTCTAGATCCTTACCGTTAGTATCTCTCATTTCTTCTTCATTTTTTCGCATTCGAGCAAAGTCTTGAACGATCGCTTCGGATAAATCTTCTAAACGTTTTAGTTCGACCTCGGAAGGTTTCAGTTTTGCAGCTTCGCCTATCTATTAAACAGAATCAAGTATGTGCTGTTATTCTGTTACTATAGATGTTTAAATTTTTAATTTAATGTAAATCAATCAAAGTTTTTAAAACGAAATATTTCCATTTTAATAGAATGTTAAATATTTTGGAAATGTTACATTTTTGGATTGAAAGAAAAAGAAAGATTGAAGCGTTAGGAATAGTTATAAAAATATTTGAAAATGTAAGTATAACTCTACACACAAAATTTCTCTTATGCTACTTCATGCTAAAACTCGTGTTATTGAAAGCTGTATTGATGGTATCTAATAATCAATCGAAAACCAATCTCGCTACATTACCAACTGCGCGTCCATACAAGTCACATACAGAAAAAAGAAAATAGATGAAACACTGTGAACAATTCCTGCTATTTATTCTATATATATATATATTCTGTCGATGATAAAATAAACTTAAACGACAATTAGTAAATAGAAGAAACATTAGCTCTAGAACACAATTTATCATTGACAGAATTTAAAACTTCTAATTATTGAAAATAAATAAAGAGCTTACTCCTTCATAATTCTTTGCTTCTATTCCACGTTTTGTGACTAAGTGAACTTCTTGTTTAATCTGTTTGATATCTGAAACATTATTACGAATAAGATTTTAGACATAACAAATGAGACGAGTATAAATATATTTAATGGAATCTTAAATAACTATAAAAATGCGCTTATACATACTGCCAGAGAAAGATGGTTGTATAGCATATGCCATAAAGCAAATTTCAAAAGTATCATATGTTTCGGTAACAAATGAAAATTTTAACATTTTTCCATGAGGTATATCGTCCTTCCTTGAAAGAATATGTCCCTTGGAATCTTTTATCTATTAAATTATAATAAATTTGTATTAATTCATAAGTAATAAACAGTTTTGTACAAGATGATTCCCTTGTCGTGTAAAACAAAGGCTATGTTTCTTTGAACATCCTCGGATTTTTCTTTTGATGCATATATAGTGGAACAAATGACAAGATGTGGGAAGAGGTTAAAAAAATATAACCTTCAAATATTATGGTATATAAATACATTTCAAGTGCTAAGAACAACATCGGAACTTACAATGTATTCAGTTTTAACAGCTTGCGTAACTGAAACTTCGTATTCTCCGACAACCAAGACATTTGCTTGGACTTCTTCCTTTAGACATTTTAACGAGTTTGGCTCAAGGTAGAATTTAATACAACTTACATGTGCGATTAATGTCACAAAAAGAAATACTACGTTTCTCATATTTAAGCAATTTCTTAAATCTACGTTAAAAAATGTTCGCACAAAGTTTTGAACAATAGCAGGTTTTAATAGTGAACCGTCAACATATCGATGAGTTGGCAGCCATTAAATATTTTGGGTGTATCGTGCGAGCAAAGAACATCACACGTGTAAATTTTGCAGGAGTACCGTAACAACGAACGACGAGGTTTCGTTCGTTACTACACAGGCATATTCTGATTGGTTACGCAGAGTTCTAATAACGCTTGTGGTGCCAAAACACAATATACCATGTCCAAATGCGTATCCCGCAACATATTCTATGGTCTGACAATCACACCATAGACTTTATGCAGCGGTATTTGCAAGTCTATGAATTGCGCCATCTATGAGCGGTGTCCGATTGAATTTGAAATTTACGAATTAGGATGAAATTGACCGTTGCTCGCAATATCTAATAAAGCATATTGTATCTCGTTATTTATAGTAACAAGTTATTATTTCCGGTAATGTAATCGTTATAAAGTGCTTCGAACAAAAGTAGTGTCGATTTACCGATTTATTATTACGCTTACGTTTAAGTAATTAAGAAATTTTTGCAATTTTGAAATGGCAGCCTCTTGTTCTTTGGAAGAAATTTTGGAAAGACAGTGTGAAAAATTACGAGATTTGGAAACCGCTACAATATTCATTAATAGTATGATACTTTATAAACTTTACTTTTTTCATTTTTATAATAGTTATTTTTGTTTATAAAGTTAAAGATTCCTTTTTTATACAGGTAAAAATGCAATAAAGGAAGAGTTTCTTAAAATGTACAAAGAAGTTACACAAATGCATGATGGTATTGAAATTATGAGAAAAAGATTGGAAGAATTGAAAGAGCAAAATAACGAATGCGTTGTAAGTTTTAACAATTTTTTGATATGTCATAGATAACGTACTATAAATTTTAAACAAAATCCTAACGAAAGCTTTGTATAGGAATTGTCGTTGCTTATCAAGGAATTGGATAAAAAGATTATTCACATGGAAACGAATGTATCGTCGAAACTAATTTACGATTATCATAATAACGAGAATTCGTTATGTACGAGCATGTTTCCTGAAGACGACTTTGTAAGAAAGTCGTCTATGATAACTGAAAGCGACGCGGAGGATCAAAAAACTCTGAAGAAAGATTGTAAAAAAATCTTATTCAACGAACCTGACGTTTGTCCAGTGATACCTCTGATAAGAGAAGACGAGTTTCATACAATTCCGAAGTATATAATTGGAAGACAACCTTTAGAAACTTTAAATAATTTAATAGTTACTATAAATCAAGTGTTAAAAGCAAAATACACATTCTTATCGCAAGGAAAAGCTCATGCTAGGAAACAAGGTTACTTGAATGTCTATTTACATTATAAGAAACAAGAATTAGACGTTTGTACTAATAATGGTAATAATCTTTTGTTTTAATTGTATTATCAACATAGTACTTCTTGCTAATAACCGTAGAAAATTCGTTTTGTTTCAGAATATGTGTACTTTTTTACTGCCATTGATTACGAGAAGTATGCAAAGTCAAAACTGAACAAAATTAAATTAAATTTATTGACTGTTTTGCGACATTGTAAACGATTACGGGAACACAGAGTAAAAAATGATATACACTATGTCGTACAAACGAAACAATGATAACTCGAAACATCGTAAATACAAGAGAAAAAGAAATTATATCTTACATAGGATTAAAGTTTTTCTAATAAATATTTTTATTATCGTATAAGTTTATCAGTTCTTTCGTAACGCGAAGAATGGATGTATTTTCATCGGTCGAGGCGGTTGACATTTTCGTACTATAAAAAATATGGGAAAGAAAGAATGGAAAAAGGAGAGAAAGAGAGAGAAAATTTTAACGTGATAGAATTTAAAGTAACAAATAACAAGTATGTTGGTATAATGAAAGCATAATAATAACAGAGAAAACATTTGAAATATATGTACTAAAATGGAATAGCTTTCGAATGCACCCGAAATATTGTTCTTTGTATAATTTTTAATATTGTAATATAGATTTTTATCGCTAATACGTATGTTTTCTTTATTTCTAGTTGATCCTGTAATGTCAGTACATAATTTGTAATAATTTGAATAGCGTTCAAATACAATTATTTGGAAATTTTAAGCAAAAAGATCACTTATATCGATAAATTTTATAAGTCGAATCGTTTTTTCGAGATTACTTTTTGTTTTGGTCGTCTTGACAACGTGTTTATTGGAAATGCTAAGCGCAAAAAGTGGATTTTCTGTCAAACTTTTTCGACGGCACGAAGACTCAAGTTTAGTTTGCCATGAAAATATTATTCCCCTTTCATTTCCAAGGAACGAGGTAATCTACTCTGAAATATTCTAATCCACTCTTCGATTCGATCCACTTGTGAAAATAACATGAAGCGAAACGATTTTTTTTTTCTGTTGTTATTCGACAACAATCTTTTTACATTATTACACAAATTGATACAAAAATGATGCAATTGTAAGTAACAAAAGTGTTTCAAATTAAATGAAACAAAGATAGCATATATTTAATGTTTACGATATTTGGATCTTTACACGCGTGAGCAAATAATAATTAATATCTCAAATAATAATACATTGATATTATTGTGGACGTATAGTTATTTTTAATACTTTATTATCTAATTACTTTCAGATAATTACGTATATTCGTACAGCTCGATACTATGAACATTAGAAAAGCAGAATCGATTAGCACACTGACCGAACATGAGGACGAACTTGACGACATCGAGGGATCAATTATTTGGTCTCAGGAAGAGCCGCTATCGTCGAACGAAATTCTCGAATTGACTCCCGATACCGGGAAACAAAATCGATTGAAATCTTTCTGTCGTTTATGCGCAGGAGAAACTCTTAATCCTATTTATATTTATTCGGAATTTGGCGAATCCTTGAGACTGTTGCACAAAATAAACACATGTTTAAGCATCAAGGTAATTAAATATGTAATTTGATATGTACTGAACGCCTTCAACTATAGTATATTAAAAGAGGATTCCTTCGATCTGTTCAACGCTTAAATATATATTTTAGTTTTTAATTTGGTAGTACCTGTATGTGTCTTCTAGGTAAAGAAAACTGATCCTCTTCCAAAACAGATTTGTCCGACGTGCGTTGAAAAAATTATATGGTGCAATGAATTCGATGCCCAGTGTATTAGGGCGGAAGAAACTCTTTTTGAAATTTTAAAAGATAAACATTCTTTTACGAATACTCGGAATTCTGAAGATGCCCTGGAGAATAGTGATTCGTGTCCTTTATGTATAGAAGGACGAATGAAGGTGTACGAAGAGGACAAAGAAAATCGAACGGATGTAGAATTATACGATAGTGATATTATTCTTGAAAGTAGCGACGAAGAACAAATTCCGAACGAGATTAAAGCCGATAAAGAGCTCACAAATGAATCTGTAACTCTATTTTGCTTGGGTACCAAACAAAAATATCTAAAATGTGGAGCTTGCATGAATCTATATCATACGAAAGAGACCCTGGACGAGCATAAATGCAAACCTAATTTACAATGTACCTCTAAGCCGTATAAATGTGACATTTGCTTTGCCACTTTTACGTTTGAAGAACGATTACAATTTCATCAAAATTTTCATAGAAATGCTAAAGCGTTATATTGTGAAATTTGCAAGATTACTTTTGGAAAAGAGCTAAAATTGTTCTACCATTATAAGAGGTATCGATTACATGGAGAATTATTGTTATTAGTAAATTTCCTCGCGATTAGTATTGTTTGTTTTACCGTGTTTTCAGATACCATTGTAAAGATGGTAGAGTATCTTGCTTGCAGTGTGGAAAGTTATTTGAAAATCAAGAAGGATTAAGAAAACATGTTTGCGTAGATGGAAAAACAAGACCTCACGTATGCGAGGTGTGTTCTAAAGGATTTTGTGATGGGTATATATTGCGTTCTTTATCGACTAAAAATCTTTTAATTTCCTTTTAATGACAACAAATGTTACAACACTATGTTATCGTTCGCTTAGATACACTTTAAAGCGGCATGTAGTAACTCACCTTCCAGAAAAGCCGTATAAATGCCCCGAATGCTCGAAAAGTTTCACGCAAAAGTCAAGACTGAATAAACACGTCGCTGGACACAGCATTGTTTTTGAGAATAGTCAAACAATTTGGAGGTAACATATTTATTTTTGTATCGTGTTTTACCAATACGGAATAGTTTTTCTTTTCGTATACGAAGGTGCGTCCACTGCGGAGAAGTATTTGGAACTTGCGAGTGTGCGGACGAGCATTGTAAAAGTCATGAAGGGAAAATTAGCTTTATCGAAGAATTACAAGTACTGAAATTATATCATTGCGAATTTTGCAACAGTCACTTTGCCGACATGGATCATTTGAAGAAACATAGGGAGTCGCACACCGTTGAACAACCATATTCGTGTAGTCATTGCAGCTCTTGTTTCAAGTCCTTTGCAGAGGCTGTGCTTCATTGGAAAGAGCATCCGAGAATATTCAAAGTATTGGTAGCGTTTCTCTGTGAAATATGTGATAGAGACGTTAAAGAATTGTCCCTTCTATACAAGCATAAACAAAAGAGACATCAACCGATGCCTAGAAAATCAGAGAAAGGTGAAAAAAAATTTGCTTGTGAACTTTGCGGAAATATTTTTGTAACTATCGAAGAATTTAAAGAACATGGAAAATATAGATGCTCCAAGTTCCCGTGCGATATTTGTGGTAGTCTTCTACCAACTGCAAATTCTTTAAACGCGCATAAAAGAAGACATAGCGGATTGAGACCGTACGTTCGAATTTTTTTTTCTATACTGTCTTAAAGTAAGACATTTTTATTAATTATTGCGTTTATACAGGTACGTTTGTAATATCTGTGGTAAGAGTTATACTCAATCTAGTCATATGTGGACACACAAAAGATTCCATATGGGAGTAAAACCATATGCTTGCGAGTATTGCGATCAAAGATTCACGATAAAGCCAGATTTGGCAGATCACACCAGGAAGAAACATACTAGGGAACGACCATTTAAATGCGATGTTTGTAACAAAGCTTTTCTAACTGGTTCTGTCTTTTATCAACATCGACTTATCCACAGAGGAGATCGCAGATACAAGTGCCATTATTGCGAAAAAGCATTTACGAGAACCGAAGCTTTAAATAATCATATAAAAATTCATACTGGAGAAAAACCGCATTCCTGTGATGTTTGTGGAAGATGCTTCAGACAAAAAGGGGACATGAGAAAACACAGGCGTACACAGCATACTGCTAAAGAAGATACAAAGTAAATTGAAATAAGATAATCTTTAAGCGTTAAGATAGATTGTGTAATTGTCGCATATTCATAGTTTTTCTAAGCGTTGTCATGAATTTAATAAAGTGTAAATAAAAAATTTATAATTATCAAAGTCAGAGAAAAGTTTTTAAATATTTTGTAGGCACGTGGAAGAAGTAGCGTTGTTTGAAATATGCGCGTGATTATAAACACGCATGAACTATAGACAGGTAAGTGCGCAGAATCGGTACATGCATACGTACAGAACAGGTGATACAACTGATGTCTCGTGATTCGTACCATCGAATCTTACGTTTTTAACAATTTGCAATCGTCACTGATAAAGGTTGCATTCATCGATGAAAACCGATTTCAATAAAATCGAAATCATGACAAGCTACAGATAAAATCATTTTCGAAAGGTCCTCCACGTACCTATTAACTCCTTTGTAAGTTAAGGCTCAATTGTATCTCGCTTTTTTCAAACGCTTAATCATTTTATTTTCAATGCAGACAACGTAATAGACATTTCTATGGTAATCAATTAAATGTAAACTAATACGTCTTTGAATTAATTTATGTAACGTATGCATTCGTCGTCAGTAAGATATACCTAACCTGAAAAAAATTAGACATATGCGTTTTATCGCGGTAAAACACGAAATTTTCAACCCTGCGTCGAATGTGGTCTAATTGTTGTTAGAAAATATAAGAGATAACGTAAATTTTTATCAAATGTCTATCGGAATGATTTCTATGAAAATTAATGAATTAATTTTATTTTGTGCTACATTTGTTCATTGAATATGAGTACACCGACTATTTAAATCATACATTATTATTTAAAATACATTAAATATTTCAGAATTCGGACAAAGAATGGCATTTCCACCGTTGGTGAGTTCTACGCCTCCACCTTTGGATAATTTTGGAGATTCCGAAGAAGACGAATTTGGAGATTTTACAACGGGAGGCATAGATGGTAATATTTCATAGCGTGAAATATTTCTTTGTTTAATTCTATATCATTTAAATTATACAAATTTCCCTCTTTGTATAACGTGATTGCTGCATTTATTTTTTAGGACTATCCATGTCGTCTGAATCGCCGCAGAAACCCATTACACCCATTCAAACACCGTTAACATCTCAGAATCCTTCGCCGAAAGTAAACGGTGTTATAGATATTGTTGATAATATTCGATCGAGTATTCCTGCGAAACCGGCAGTTCTAGAAGATTTTTTAATACTCGAGAAGATAGATGACACCATAAGCGATATTAAATTGAAAGCGGAGGTTGAAAATATCTATGAATCGCACCATAAAAAAAATAATTCGGAAAACGCGAACAGCAATTGTAGCGAAGACAGTACGGAGAAAGGTGTTTTCGGTGGTGTTAATTTAACTAGCGAAAGCAGTAGCTTCGGAGGGAGCGAACAAGAAACATCTCCTAACAATTTAGAAGATATAGAACCGTTAAGTTTAGATCTAGGAGATCCAGCTGCGGCTCCTGATACGGTGCAGTCGATAGACGATGATTTTTATGACTATGAGCAATTTGAGGATTCTCAGAATTGGGTTTCCAGCAATGACGAATCTACAGGTGTTTCCAATATGGGTTACTATAAAACAGAAACTGAAGATATTTCAAATAATTTGAATGCTTCGAGTAAGGATATCGATATAGACGATAAGAAGGATGTAAATTTCACATTTGAACATTCGATTCAAGAATCAAATTTAGAAAGTCAATGTACAGAAAATGAAGACGTGCCTAACAAAGAAAATGATTTTGAATTTAAGGTGAACGATTTGAAATTCACAAGTACAGAGAATTCAGTTTTTCATGATTCCGATAATGAAACTTTTTTAAACGCCAGCGAATCGAGCAATGAGTTTTTATCTATGCATCAAGCGAAAAATGAAGTCGAGGAGGCCATTTGTCAGTCTGTCGGAAGTGAAAATAATACAGTCGAACATAATTTTTTATCTTCCGGTCCCATAACGAACATTTCCGGTTGTTCCAGCGAAGAGTTCGGTGATTTTAAGTATGATCCTATGTTCGGAACTTCAACTAAAGCTTTCCAGCCAGAATTTTCAAACCGTTCTTTAGACACGGGCGAAGAAAAGAAAGAAGCGTTGGACGAAGACGACGATTTCGGTGATTTTGCAAATTTCGCGGATCAAATGCAATTTAACGAAGTCGATGAAACAAGTGTACCTGATAAAGATAACGACGACGACGATTTTGGCGATTTCAATGATTTCGAGTCAGCTCTTGAACCACCTGCGGTGGAACAACAACAGTTTAATCTGAAAGAATCCATTTGTCGGATAGAAAATAAGAATGTAAGTCGATTTAATTATTTTATATCTCCGTTTGTTGATTTAATGTTCAATTATTTGAAAGTTTAATATTTTTTCAGGCTGCTAATAAAATAGAAGACATAATAACCACAATGTTTTCATTGGATGTAAACCAATGCGAGATTCAAGTGGAAACACTGATAGATGAAACGGATAAAGTATGGAAAAGCGTAAAAAATGTTGAAGAAACGAACGCTTTGACGTATCAATGGGCAAACAGTACCAGCAATAAAATGCTATTAAATTCTCTTGGCATTGATTCTCGCAATATTGTAAATATCGGGTTATTCGCATGGAATATTGTCAGTGTAACGAGATATTAAATTTAATCGATTTCAGTTATTTGGTCCGAGGTGGAATCCAAATGTTCCCAGATTTGCTGCGAATCTTGGTTTCACGCCGTTGGAACCGATTAAAGCTACAACCGATAATCAATCCGTCACTATTTCGAATGTTAATAAAACTCAAAGTTCAACCAATTCAGAAGTAAGTTTAGCAATTATTAACCGATGCGATAGTTTTATTGCTGCAATATGGTTTATGCAAACCATAACGATAGAATCTTACTATTTGAATTTGAAGGATAAAATAGTAAAAGATATTGGCACCAATTGAATTATTGCATCGATACCAGGAGGTAATATTAATTTATTACGCGCTCGTTATCCATAATTAATCATAATGTAACTCCTATAGGAAGTGCCTGCTGCTCAATTTGATTGGAATAGTTCTGGGCTTGTTAATCCTTTAGAAGCTAGTAAGTACGAAACGCGTTTGTCGTTATCATTTAATTTTTGTTCAATTTCTGTTGTGCATTTCGTTGCAATTTCTACGACGTAATTAGAATAATATGAAATTAGATGTATTCATGCGTATAGAAAAGTATTTCCATTTACACGCCAGCACTGTGTTTTAGGATTACATATATTCTCATTCGTTTCTTCGTTTAGTTCGCTTCTGCGATTCCTATGTAAAGTGTGCTAATCACCGGGCAAATTGTTTGATAAATCATGTAATCTAGGTGGTGGGTTATCCGCTCTTCTGCCTCTGGACTTTTTGTGTCCTTTCGATCCCTTACTAACATCCCACAACTCCAACAATTCTGAATCCTACCGTCGACCGAGTAGCGCAAGGAATCCTGCTAATCACCGTAAGTCTTAAAGCTTACACTTTGTAATTGATGTGCTATATTATTAAGTTTTTTAAAGTACACGTAATTCCGTTTATTCTGCATGATTTATGTATTTTCTCGAACATTTAATTTGATCGTTATAAAATGAATCTCTTTACGATACGATAGATATCTCGGAAATGAACGTTAATCGGGAGCGCTGCAACTCCGTTTCCAAGGTGGAGACAGTAGACTCTTTGGAAGCCGATATTTCGAAGTCGCAAAAGCGTTCACAGGCTTCAAGGATGATCGAGCCATTGCCAGCTCCTCGTGCGACAGAGTGGAAGAGAAAAACAGACCCGGAGTCGGCACACAAATTAAGAAACGCAGGTGGCCAGAGAAGTGTTCAAACGGAAAAACAGTGCTTGACCACGGATAAGCAATTCTTAACGAACGAAAAGCAAAGTGTAGCGACCGAGAGACAATTTGTTTCGGCCGAGAAACAATACGTGTCGGCTGAAAAATCTACTTTAGGCGATATTTATCGTGGAAAATCTGTAAACAAGAGATCGGGCTCCGAACACGTGGTGATGGACAGGTTCGGTCGAGTTGTTCCGATTCAGCCGGAAACGGCAAGAGTATTAAATCGTTTGCCGGATCTTTCATTCCTGAGCGCTAGAACTTTAATGCTCGATCGTGAGCAGAAGCAGTTTGCCTGTGAAATGGGTGTCATGAGTCGTAAGATGCCCGGCTGAGTAACGTCGGTCTGAGCGCGAGTTTGAAAGGTCAGAACATTCGATAAATCTCTGTCCTGTGGACGTATCGATGAGGCATAGAAACGAAGAAGAAAAGATGTTCCGTTAACCTTTCAAATCCGCGCTTGGACCGACCTTCGATTCCAACTTTTTCCCCCCTTTGTAAACACTGACTGACGATATATTCTGTACTCTCTACTTATTTATGAAACAGAGACTCTGTATGGAGTGTATCGAGGTAGTAAAATTTTTCTGTTAAAAAAAGAATAGAGACAACACACACTCTGCAATACAGGATATTGTTTTTGCACTTGATGAGAACAGTAAAATAGAATACTGTTACCTTGTTCACGAAATGGAGTCATGGACCTTTCCTGTGTACAGTCGGAGTTTCTTTCATTCGGTTTCACTGTTTTAAATTACTTATTAATAATTTTAGACATCACTTAAACTATGTGATATGCAATTTACGTGTACTTTTTTCTTTCGTTTCTATATACATACGTATAGTAGTACCTGTATTTTTTAATATTGCTTCTTGCTTTAAATGAGACGTGGACCAATTTATAATTTATAGTCAAGTATAACGGAGAATTGACTTGACGGTATTTAAAATTATCATTTTTTCAATTGTATTTTACCTGGTTGCAAATTGAAATCATGATAACGAGAGACAGATAGGTCGTTGTATTATTATGCGGTAATTCCTAAGTATCGTAAATATTTATAATCGACTAACGTCTTTAAATTGTTAACTTTTTTGCCTAAGTCCTTTGTTTTTATATCTATTAATGCCTCAAAATTGTTGCATCTAGAACGTTGTAAATTGAAGCTATTAGTTGGTTGTTAATCGATGTAATTTAACAATGTGATTTGCGTGTTCAGCCAGTTATTTATGTAACCTATAGGATTTATAAAATCATGTACTTAATGTTTTCTACATTTGACTCTATTCCACGAACAGGCATAAAGATATGCAGCAAGTTAGTGGCGCAGCCAAAAATTTCTTATAAAAACGTATAATGCCACATGATGTATATATACATATGCAAATAAATGAATGTTACGAGTTACCCATATTTTTGGCTGAAAAAGGATTTATGAAATATTTGCAGACTCGTCTTAGAATCATTGACTTAGTCTCCGATTTTTCTTATTTATAAACACCCTATTGAAGTGTTACTTCGTGCTTTATTTTTACACAGTATTAAAATAGGTCAATTTTTACAAAAGAAATCAATTCGCGTCAGAAAAATATTTCTACGTCCTTCAACTCTTTGTAACGTATTTAAAACCGAGAACAAAAAGAATAGGGAAAAAAAAAAATCCACGAAAATATGTATTTTCAATTTATGTAAAAGTAAATAACCGTAAATAATAATGACTACGTAACTATTATAGCTCAATTAATTATATACCGGCATTCTTTTACACGTCGAAGCTTTAATCGATATTTAACACCGATATTATATTCGAAGGGTATTATTATATACATATGTAATTAGATTTTAAAAGTGACTCGAGAAGTAACAAACAAAGAAAATGTTAATATATCTTCGATATTTGATAAGTAGCGTAATCGAGCCGACGATAAGAGACGAAACGCCAGGTGGTCTCTTCTTGTTTATATGCATGTATACATATTCGCGCTACACGCCTCTCTTTCTCTCTCATACATACACGCCCATTCTCAAACTTTGCCCGCTCTTTTCAAACGATTGTACAGAAGGTAAATATTTGCTATAGTAGACATAATTTTCTGAAAAAGAATCACCAAAAAAATTGAACGGAATAACAGAAAAATTTCGAAAGAAAAAATTTGGATAAGTTAGCAATGCGCGGTTCAGTATTCGAATCATGTCCATTACTATACGTCAGACAGAGTCGTGCGCCGACTGGTACGGCCAGGTACCAAATGCCACAAGGTCACGACTCGTGTGCTTGTATACCCAGAGGAACAGAGCTAGCACGAGAAGAAGAGAGAGACCTTTTATTGTGTAGCTCAACTTGCAGCCGTAAGGTGCGCAACCAATGAATAGTGAAATAACAGGTGAAAGAACACACACGTTGCATCGGAGACGTAGATTATCGATCTGTATTCTTATTAAACGTACGAGCTGTTACAAATTAAAATTGACAGATATAGTTTTAAATTATCTTGATAGAACGTTTTGTAACGAAGAGATATATTTATTTATATTTTTAAAGTTCATTTTTTAAATAGTAAAATCAAAACCTTGTCTTTATTACGAGAAATAAATATTAAAATATAACGCGACTAAACGCGCGATAAGTAACGAGATAATTACTAATTTTAATTTTCAATGCAAAAGGAAGTGTTGGTACGTGCCACGCTAGAGCTCATCTTAGGACAATAGAAAAGGTCGAGCACAGGCTATGGCATTTGCTTCGACTAATAAATGTGTTTGCGAGAAAACGCAGGAGTCAGCAGCAACGTGTCGTTCTCTCGAGCGGCACCACCGGGCACGGGTGGCACGAGTTAACGATACAACTTCGTTCATAAATAGCGTTCTATGTACGAAGACGAATCATTTTTATTCTAGATTCGACTTCTCTTTCGAATATCATTAATTACTATCATTCATTCGTCCTCTAAATTTGAAATTTTTAACGAAACTGTTTCTATTTCTAATAGCTGTATCTCATGTTTAAGCGAAAATTATTTTGAAAGCTGAACTTCTTTACATGTAAATAACGAATACAATTAACGAGTTAAAACGTATAGGTTAATATGTCTTACTGCAGAAGAATCCGAAGAGCATACGCAGGTATAGGTCTGGAATGTTTCAGGTCTATTGTGGTCGCAGAAAGTATCATGAAAGTTTGAAGGGACACCGCTATATCTCAGGTCAGGTACGATCATTTCGTGTTTACATTCGTTTTCCGTGCATCCCTCTATAGTCTATAGTTTATAGTCTATAGTCTATAGGAACACATAAAAGAATTCGTTGCATCGTTCAGGCTGCAAACCCTAAAAATAGCGAAGGATTAGAAAAATGATACGTAGAAGAGAAAATGAGAAAATAAGTAATTTTATATCGTAAATGTTATTTAACGAGATATTCTAGAGAGATTATTTTTAATTGTTTAATACCACTATTGTCAGATGTTAATAGAAAAAGAAGATATTAACGTTTATCGCCAACGAATATATGTTTCTAATTCAGCATTTGTGTCATATTGCAAGTATTAAATATGTATTGTCCCGGTACAGGATTTGTCATCACACGTGGTCCTTAGAATTCCTTCGACGCGCATGCGTCGTAAATTGAGTGTCGGTAAGGAACCTCCATCCGGTAAAGTACGCGCTTCAAAGCCAGTCGTTCGCTGACCGCGGCGGTACGAATGTCTTGTTCGCGAGAGCTATGAACTGATTTCAAGATCCTCTAATGCTTTTCGCGTTCTTTCCCCTTCATTTTTTCTCCGCTCCTTTTTTTCCATCCTACCGATTACACGTTTTAATTTGAAATTCCTTTAAAAAAAGAAAAAAACCTGTACACATGCATTAAATCGTTCCATTTCCATTCGAAACAAGTGTCCATCTCGAGAACATCGTTTCGATTCTCACCTGAAACCATTGATCGTCACTGTTGCCTCTCGTATCTTCTCGCCGTTATTCTGGTCTTCGGTTAGAGTGTAACGCGGGGGAAGAAAATACACGATATTTCGTCGCGGTCGAAGAATTTATCTCGGGAATCGAAATACCGGCAAAACAGTGGAGAGAAAAATTGAAGTGAACGGTGTGCGGTGAGAAGGACGGTGCGATGGCAGTGGCTGCGGGGCCATGCCGGCCACGCACGCTCCTCGCTGGTGGTATCCGCGCTTCCGGGAATACTTTAGGGACGAAAACTTTGTACTCGCTCCTCGACGGATTTCCGCTGATACTAGTGTTAGTCGGGATTGCACAGGTTGCCGCCATCAGATTAGGTAAGGGAATTCAGCTGCAATGTTTAATTAGAATTTAGTCCCACGAACAACTTTCGAATGGAACGTACAACCTATTTCAATAAAGAACTACTCGAAGAAAATACGTACGTTTACGCGCAAGAGAATCAATGATTTTCGATATTAATTTATCAAATATCGAATCGTTCGATAGTTAAATGTTACGATTGCATGTTCCTGTAAAATGTGTACATCGTAGGAAAGTATATGTATGTACCTGCTTTAGATGAAAAACAATTGATTACAGCCCTGTGTGTTATTTCCCTTTCGCCGAACAACAGAACAATACTGTAATAAGAAATGCTGAACGTTTGTTAATTCCACTGCTTCGTGTACATTCAAGTTAATTACTAATTCTGTAAAGTTAGATGTGTACTCTCACTTGCCTTTGTTCAAACGGATGAATAGAAATTTGTTTGCTTTCGTGAACTAAGGACAATTGATTCTCTTTTCCTCTTTCTTCGAATGCAGGTGTATTCTTAGGTACACGATTTTTTCGTTCGACATAGCTCGCATTGTTATGCGAGAAAATCGTGAAATGTTGCGATATAGAAAAAACTCGTGGAAATTACTTTGGTGAACCCTTTCAAGGCCTTTATCATTCTCCGGTCGAAAACGTGCCGCCTTTTGCCAGATCCCACGCTTAAAAGGGGAGCCCCGCGTTTGAACGAGCTGCGCGTTTAGAAATGTTCCGAATATTCAAGCTTTCGAACGATCGAATTTACTCCATTGTATACCTGTATCCTTCTGTCAATAATATCGACTAGTTTTCTTGGGGTTTGTAAATTCTAACGACTGTTTTGCTGTTAAAAACGCCAAGTTACGTTGAGATCGTGGTCGGTTTTTCATCCGCTGGGTGCTGCTTTCTCCGCTTCCCGCTAGGTGTGCGACTTATCGCGTGGTTTTCGTCGAACGTCCGACTTTTCAAAAATCCCACCTCGCATGGGAATGCAGTTAACGAATCAAGTTGAATTTACCGTTACACACGCTGTCGCCCGACTTTTCTTTTATACAACTAGAGAGATCTTAATACTTAGCGCTCTAAAAGTCACCAGGAGTCGAAAGTTAATGGACAGTATAGACTTTTTGACAAAATTCAATTGATTATGTTTATTTTTTTATACCGTCTTAGCTCATGTAAAATAGTCGCATAAATTTTGAATACGAACAAGCAGACTTTTGCGATGGGAAAAATGTCCTGTTCTTATTTATTTTAAGTAAGAACATTAAGCGATGCACGAGGGAAAAAGAAGACAATAAACATTGACCTCGAGATTCGAAGGTGAACTTCTGTAAAATGTAAAGTGTTGACCTTTCCGAGTACGGGAAGTTAAATTTAGCAGTGAACGAATTACCGTTCATCTTTCTTGCACGGACACAATGCAGTTATTTACCTGAATTGATCATTATGTCGTGGATACAGGAACGGTTTGGCTCGATCGACCGAAGCGAAATATACAACACCTGAAAGATAAAAACAAGTAAATAAGAGAGTTTAGTAAAAGAGGATAGTAAAATTTTCAATAAAATACTATTTCGATCGAACCTGCATACTAGTCTGTTGTAAAAATAGCCATTTTTCGACGATTAATCAAATCATGTACGTATATGCATACGCACTTTACATGTAAATGTACATTGAAAGAAGAAAAGAAATTTTAATCAGCGCAGAAGTAACCTGAAATATTAAATCAGAATTAATTTATGTACTGGTAACTTAAATTATTGCGATTTAAATTATTAAGATTATTGAGCACTGCTGGTAAGTGGGAAATTACGTTTGGTTAATATTCATACGAACCCATTGTAGATTCGAATAAACCGCGACACCAGGATATCGTATACGATTTCCAAACGTTTTCACGCGTTTGCTGATTCGTTAATCGATTCGAAGGAGACGCGACCAACACTTGGAAGATCGTGGCGGTAAACGAAATAAACACGGACGAACACACCAGGTCACGCACGCAATTTTTACAGAACCGGTTTCACCTGTAGGATTAGTTTGTGTGTAAACTGATCGGGTTATTTTGAGAACCAAACGATGGAAAATTCCCCTCCTTTTTCTTTTTCGTCTCTATAAGATTTACTTTTCAGTTTAATAGAAGGCAGATCAGGGATATTCGTATATTCGTCGAATAGATAGGTGATTTTTTAGAAACTTACGTGAAAAAAGTAGGTAAGCGATCGAATTGTTTTAATTCCTCGATGATTTATTGCGAAGAATTCGAATGACATCATTTCATTTTACACTTAAAGTTACCATTTGGATTTGTTTTCTTTTTTCTTCTTTTAATTAATATTGTAACGAAGAATAAAAACTTTTTAAATATACTTACTGTTAGATCCAATGTTCGATTGGAAATAATGAAATGATCGATACGATCGAGAGCTACCGTAACACGGAGCGTCTAATGCACCATCCACAGGTCCAAGTTTTATGGTGAGAGGAAAACCGGTTTTTCGAACTTGTAGTAAACATGATCAACAGAATGCTCCGAATTCTCGATGATTCCTATTCCCTGTGCTTCTTCCACGTTCCAGATAGGATTTTATCGAAGTTTTCATCGTTACGTTACTGTTGCTTAACCTCGAGAGAGAAAAAAACGACAAAAATGTTAGTCATATCGCTGTTGCGAATTTGTAATTTTTTTAAAGTTTCTTTTTGTTTTATACTCGATGCCGTTTAATTTCTATAGCAAATGTTGCCGATTAAAAAAATTAAAACTAAAATTTCATGAAGTATCGTTTAAAAATTTGGTTAAGTAAAAGCGTGTCTTGGAAATTCGATGATCGTACACATAAAAAATTGATGACAATAACATTTCGTAATATATCAGTTGTAAGAAATCTGAAATTCGATAGCTGCTGGTAAAGTTTCGAAATGAAACTATCAGAAAATTTTGCAATTTCGTATGTATATTATTAATTGTATTAATTGGTATGTTGTACTTTCCTAAAATTCAATATTTCTACATATATAGTACGTAAATAGAAAAATCAGAAATAAAAGCTTTTTAAATTTTATCGATAAATATTCTCTTTGCAATCTCTCTCGTAAGTTTCGTGCCGCGCGATTCTTATTCCTTCATAAATTTATCTCCATGATTTGTTATGTTTATAGAGCATTAGCGTAATTGCGATGCAGCATCGATTATCCAAGCGTCTATTAATATTGCGGCTTTTTTTTTTTTTAAGTACGCTACAGACTGAGAACCTTATCTTTCACGAGAACTTAATTCGTCGTGTGCACGATGCGGTTAATCAGCAACGCTTGCTCCGATGACATTGAAGCAACGATAAAAGAAAATTTGAATATAATTTGCACGATGCATAAATATTTAAGAAGCGAATCTGTTCTCGGTTATTACCGTAAAAAGAAAAAAAGCAGGTATGAAAATTTCAAGTGTACGCATTCAAGTTGTCTCCCTGTTAATCAACAGAAGAAGAACTTTCTCCTTCTTTGGAAGAAGAAATAAGGAATCAGCTTACAAACTCAGGCAACTGTTGAGTGCAAGGTTCTTGGGTTTCATCGACCCACTGATTCGTGCCACTTCTTTTTCTCGTACTAATAACTGCACATGCACCGTACAGGAGGATCTACCAGCCTCGTTACTCGCTTTTGCAATAATAACCTAAATAGAACGAAATAAATTGCTTTTAATAAGTATTGGAACACGTCCTGTATAATCTTATTTACCTAATTTCAATTCGTTTTTATTATATATATATATATATATATATATATATTAGTTTGAAATCTTGTTGAAATATTGTACCTGGAATTACTGTTCGAAATTTTAATGAACAGATTCCGAATGATTTCATTAACCTTTCCCCACGATCACGAGTTTAATTTTCCATCGATTTACCGCTATCCCTCTTGTGTATTCAGGAAACATCGTTTCCTTTGACCTCGAGGAAAAAAATGAAGAAGACCACGCGTATCGGAACTTTTCGCTTGGCCAAGTCGATGGAATTGTTTAATCCATATTCCCACTGTCGAATATCAATTTTCTTAGACGAATAACGACAATTTTACGTTTCAAAGCGTTCTGTTCAGCCACTAGATCGCATAAGGATTCTGTAAACACATAAAACGTTTGCGAAATGAAACTATTGAATGGAAGCGATATCGAAGTTGAAAACCAAGAATTAACTCATTCTTGTTCGACGAGTTTACGCGAACGGATCATAAACTGTTATTGTCGGCAGTAGTTGCCAAGTTGTGTCTGTAAATATGGATAGCTGATTAGCATAAAGATTAAAGAATTTAATCCATAGCTAAGCCGCGATTAGATTCGTCTGTGCAATTATTTGAACGCGTTAGAAGAGAAATTATAAAAATAATTCTATTCCGCGTTTGAAATATTGCTTGTGTAAGAGGCAAAAGTTTCGAGTATCGAGATCTTGTTTGTTTTAAAGATGTTTTTTCCTGTATCCCTCCAGTTCAAGGTCGATGGACTTCTCTGAACTCGTGAAAGGTTCGCCGTATCACAGTAGATCAAGTTCAGCGGTTTATGGAGAATTCATAGTTTGTCTTCGATATCGTCTTATAAAATCGTCTTCTTCTTCGCGTTCTGCGATCAAATTTCTAATATGAATGACTCGAATAAAATGTAGTCGGCGTTTTGTCCTAAAACTCTTTTTATCGTTCGAAAGTCATATTTTTCTTCCTGTACAGAGAATTATTCGTTAAAATTTAGCGAATCATAAAAGTTCTTAATCGAAATACGTCTAATTAAATTGAATCGAATTGCCAAGGCAATAATTACATTGACAAATGGATGGATTATACGGATCGCGTATGCGTCGATACGCGCGTAGTTGGATGCGCGCGCATACATTCGATATTTTCGAAGAAAGATTCGTGGTGAAAAACGAATTAGGTTACCGAAAATATATAGTTTCGCGCGAGTCAGAAGTAGAAGCAAGCGTTGTAGCGAGCTGTCGTAGGCAAAATATACCGATTGCTACCTTTGGAGTGGAGCGAGTTAGCCAGGTTGGCAGGTTCGAGGCTGGCAGGTAAAGTCGGTAGGCGGGCCGAGGTTCATTGACCTCGGCTTAGCGGCCGACCGGATAGCGGGACCATGCATCCCCGATTCTACGTTCTCCTTCTGCCTTCTCTATACTTTTCTCCTCTTTTCTTCTCTTTCTCGCAGTTGTTATTTCTTTGTTTCTATGTCCTCCAGCACGCTTTGTATGTCGCGATACCAGCTTCAGTCATCGGTCTTTTGGAACCGAGATTTCTTAAATTCTGTAAGAAATATACACCGTAATATACACCATAAATAGCAAATAGGAAATAATGGTTGGAAGCGATAAACGATTAATCGGTATGTTACGAAGACGATGAAGGAGTAAACGGACGATTTAATAAATAGCGTAGACGAATAAGACACGGAGGTACAAAGATTTGATTTCATTGATTCGTCTAGAAGTGGATCGCGTGGGAAACTGCAACTTTCACCCATGGGATTACAAGAGAGTACGAACAGCGCGAATCTAGCGGTTCTGGATTGCCGTTGACTGAATAGCAATTCTTAATGTTAACGTGCCTGCCAACAAAATTCGAACTACTTAATTTAACTATCATTTTCTGCCGGACGTTCGCAACGAAAATCTTATTTAAATTATCCAGCGAATTTTCAGGAGAAATTTTAACAATGGACCGTGGTCGCTGATAAAACTTTAGTCGTTAAACTTTAACGAGTGGTAACATGGTAAATGCGAATAGTGGCGGACGACCTGAAAACCTTTAGGAAGGCGCATCGTGCCACGATCAGAGAATATCAACGAGAAATAATACGAATGCCGGGCCTCGTATTGCCTCTATTTAAAATTCTTGGCTTTTCTTTCATCGACCCTAGCGACACAGTCGAATCATTGCCTTTCTAATTTACGTTACTTTACACACCTCGCAACACCGTATCGGTATACCCTACGTTTCAAGTAACGTACGAGTACGTCCCCCGCGTTACACAGGGAAGCCCATTGATTGCAATATTTTTTCGAGGGGGGAGGGTCATTACCTGGTTACACCGATACGCGATTAATCTACACGTATATGTAACAATTTCTCATAGTATATGTTTTCTTTAAAAATTTCCTATTACAGCGATATCGTACAGTTCGTATTTTATAGAAGAGAAACGTGCGATGCGCATCGAAGACTGACACCGTTGGCTTTATAAAGTGGAATCGACTTTAACGAAAGGAAGTGCACCACGGTGCGCTATGATGGTTGGAATTGGAACGAGCATACACAATAAGCCCTCATTACACGAAACAGAATCTATGGTGTGTGCTAGTTCATTGAATTTCTTTTCTCCTCCTTAATTAAAATTATTCTAACGTGTAATATTTACACGCGAAAGCGTATACTTGGAATTTTCTAGTTGTTCATTTAAATAACCGTCGCGTGTTAAGTTTTTGCGGATAAAAGTATATTGGAAATTTTTTACACGAATTCACCTGTTGTACCAGAATAAACCTCGGAAAACCGAGTCGAGGGAAATTTCTGATTTCGAAGAAAATCGAAAGAGAACGTATGCATTGGTCGACGGTTCCTACCGAATTGACCAAGTCGGATCAACGAACGATGGCGACTGGCAAGCAATCGAGACGCACGTAAATAGGTGTACCATTCAACCGGACTCATACCTACTGTACTTGTAGTACGTGTCTACAAGGCCACAGAGAGACGAATGCTCGATTAATACCGTGGGTGAAGGGAGCTTCTTAAGCGTCGTTCACAACCAGCTACTCGTTACGCGACTTCAGCCCGTAGGCAATTTTCTACGGTTTCGATATTTAATCAATGAATAACGTAATCGATCTGTTCCTATAATTACGACATCGTTCATTTAATCTGCATATACTTTTCGAAATGTTTCGTACGAACCTGGAGGTATAGAACGGAAACGGGAAACATATTTTCATATTTTGCATCGAGATAAATTTAAATAAATTTTTAAATCCGAATTCGTATGCATGCGCATCGAAGCTTTTGAAAGTTGAATGCCGCGCCGCGTCGGTAAGAAAGCGTCGATACGCGCAAAAAATCTTTTTCGTTACTGTTGCCGCTTCTTTCTCGGCAAAAATACTGTCGTAGGAGAGTTGTATGGCCATAAGCGTTGCGAGAGGAACGAATTCGTCCGTAGTGCCTTTAAGGGTACACTTTCTATAAAACGACACGGTATTTCCATTTAGATATAGACGAAGCCGAGTTTCAAATTGTCCTGTCGACATCGCTAGACTGTTTGAAGAAAAAAGGCTTCTACTCCTATTTATTTTCGATCTTGCCGTGTAGCGACACGATATATACAATGATGACCTGCCAACATGCAACGTGTTAATTTCAGCCTCGCCTATAACATAATTATGCGATTACTTTAGTCTACCGTTTATATTATATTAAGCTTATAACGAAGCAGAATCGTTTTTATTAAAGGTAAAGATAAAGATAAAGATTTAAGTAATATGTTCCGAAGACAATAAGTGTTTCTCTCTTACAAATTCGTTGAGCTTTTGAATTTGAAAATTTAACGAACGACTACGTTCCGATAGCATCGTGCTTTGAATTAACGCGTAAATGTCAGTTTACAATAATGAATACCATCCGAATAAAATGTTAAAGCCGGTTAAAGTTTCGGACGCGGATCATCGAAGTTAAACTGATTAAAGTGTAGGGTCAAGCTCTCGGGTGTTCGTGTGAGGGCGCGCGCAAGCGAATACGTGTTTCTGACAAGAATGAAATCCCTGGTATAAAATTTACACCGCGCTTGTAACTTTAGTCAAATAAAGTAACGACGCTTAGAAAATATAGAAGGAAACGAACGTAAAAAATTTCGAGAAGAATTCAATTTCCGTGAACGCGTCGTCTTTTAAAGTATAAATGTAAAATGTTTAGTATTACGATTTACTTTTAAGTAGATTCGAACACGTAATCTGATTAGCATCGATGGTCATCGACGCCTCGAGCAATTGTAACAGACCAAGACACCGGAGAGAAATTAAGGTCGTACGTTCGTACCTCGTTTTGATGTTCGACGAGACAAAGTTTTCGGGTCATCGTTCTTTCATCGGGAGAATCTACATTGGTCAGGCAGAATCGGGACAAGGTTGCATTTATCGGTCACCCGTTACACGACATTAAAGATTCTTCGATTCCATCTTGGACACGAATTACGGCCTGTTCGGATACATCGTTATGCCTTTTAGCCTTTTTTCTTCGTCGAGTCAACATTGTGGATCGCTTCGCGAGTTCTTTTTAAGATGGAAGTCTCGATAGAACAACGTTCGATCTTTCTCTTTCAGATTCTCGGTTTATGTCGCTGATGATTCATTCGACCTGTTGACCAAACGATTTATTTTAGATTCGATTCTAATTTACGGATTAGGAAAAGAAAATGAAACACGATGTCGAGTAAACCTTTACGCGAGAAATTAACAATTATTTTCACGGTATGTTTATGTAGGCGTTTCGAAGATACACAACTATGCGTTATTTCGATATATGTAACTACACCGCGATGAGACGCGTAATTACCTATATACGACCGTATGAAACAATGGGTGAAAGTGATTTGTAATAATTGAGATTCTCGTGTATGAACAAGGAATGTGTACATTCCCATGGTTTTACAGTTGCAATGTTAGTGCAACGAATGTTTTATGCGCATACGTATGTACGTACGCGCCTAACTGCTGTAGCGGTCTAGTAAACATACTAGAATCTCATTTATTCGAAGCAATTGAATAATTAATTGTATCGCTGGCGATGACCGTACATGGAATCCAGTACTCGTCAGAAGCTGTTTGCTGACCTAAAACCTGTACTGTAACTCAATTAGTACGTGACCCAAAATCGGCATGTTAATTAGCAAAAGATCACGACACAATTTCGGCAACAGCCAAGATCCGGCGAGGACGGTGAATTATCGAAAAACGTGTATGTACCTCGTGTCGAGCTCGAAGAGAGTGAAGATTTTCTCATAAGGAGAGTATCTATCGAGTCTGTTGGCTAGAGAAGGTCGCGAGAGGATCGTACAAAAAAGATTGCGGCGAGAAACGAAGGTAGGCGAGCGCACTTCTCTCTGGCTTATTCCCCTCCTAGACTCTCCGCGACTCTCCGTGACTCTCCATGACTCTCCGTGACTCTCCGTGACTCCTGATTGCGTCTCGCTAACATAAGTCTGGCCGAGTCTACCGACACGGCGTGCCGTTGGTACCAGGGCGCACCGCCTGGTACGAACGGTGCACTCCATCTCTGTCTCCCCGTTCTTCTCTTTTCTCGATGCGTCTCACTCTGACTCGTTCGTTGTCTTTCTCCGTTTCTCTTGCTGGCGACACAGCGCACCTCCGTTCATGATGCGCGGCCACAGACAGATGAGAAAATTCGCAACCTGTGCAACGAACACGAACATCACTGATATCGTTCAAACATTATGTTCCAGCCAGTTACTTGGAAAGTAATTTTTAGTAAGACTAAACCGATATAGAATTCGAACTACGGACTAGATTCCAAAGTATTTGGGGCTCGTGAAATTTTCGAAAGAGGAACCTTGGTCCATCGAACTTTCAGAAATTTCGATCTATGCATACGTTTACCTAATATTCGATTGAAAAAATAACATGTTGATAAAATGAAACGTGTTACCTCCGATGACGGTCGTCCGAATGGTTGTCTCCAAAGGACCATCTGTTTTCTTACCGAGGACACGTTTCTCTGTAATTCGTGACGAGAAATATTAAAATACCTTCGAAGCGCGTGCGTTGATATGAAACGAAGATGTTTATACTTTTTTTTCTTGCATTTATCTTCGCGTTTTCTTTTCCGTTTTTTTTTTTTCAATTTGTTTTACACCGTTCGTCGCAAACTGTTGCCAATTTCTTGGTAAAATAAATAATAATATAATTAGTTTTTTCGCGTCGTCGTAATTTCTTTTAAATCAGTCAAATAACGTACCGGCCTCTGATGATACGGTTCATCTTGGCTACGATTCTATTCGAATTCCGGAACATTGTTTCGTACGGATTCAGATGCCGTCCTTGTGCTTCTGTAGTTGAAAGCCAATATTATTGAGGATACGTCATCGAACGAGAAAGGCTTAAACATCCTGTCGATGTTATCCTTGAAAGGATGCTCATATACGGCAGCTAGATATATACCTGCTAGATAAGCGATTCTAGCTAGATTCCGTTAAGATTTAATCGGTGCCAGTCTGTACCGTTTTATCTTTGGTACATGGTAGGTGGTTTTTCTTTCTTTTTTTTCTGAATCGACGAATTAAATACATGTGTTTATATACCTCTTCCTGTCATTATTTCGTATTATAAGCTGTAACAACGAAGTGGTTTTTTTTTTTTTTTTTTTTTGGTACATGTGCAATAAAAAATTCGTCGATTGCCGTGTTTAAGGATGATCCTACATCGTAATGTTTGAAATTACGTTTAATTCTCTACGTTTCAAATTAATACCGGGTACATGCGCAATGACTCCTTCTCGCGTATACAAATTGTCGTTTATTTTCACAAATTTTTATCGAAAAATTACCTGTATAGACAAATTGAATCCTAGAACGTGATGTTTCGATTCTAACCTATTCGAATAAAATTCATAATTAGCGTAATTTGAAACGGCATTAAATGATACTCAATCGAGCTAATCGTATCTGTCATCTCACATGCTAATAAACTTGCGGAGAAAGAGAATTTTTCTCGATGTTCGAATATTGTTACTGATTTTCATGAATTAAGAAATCACCGATTCTACGAAATTTCTGTTGAAAATCTTTCGCTGTTCGTAATCTGGAATAAAACCGAAGATGAATTCTCGAATCGAACCTTTTCGATTAGTTGAAAAAAAAGGGATTCTCGATATATCTCGAGAGGGAGCTGCCAACATTCATTGAACCTTTCACCTATCACGCCACTGATACATCTAGTCACGAGTATTTCTCCTTGGTTCTAATCTTTCTGCTTTCGGTTTGTTAATATAAATGTCGATTATTGGTTGTAAAATTGTACACGATAGTATGCGTACCCCTAAACCGTCAAAATTTTCACGAGGAAAGATGGCAAACTTTGGACGAGGCCTTGATAAATTTGCAAATTTATCAATTTGAACTATTAGTAACGTACAAACATTTCCGATTTTCGCTAAACCGATTCGAAGTTAGACCGTGTGTACGAACGTGTAGTGTATCGAATCGACTTTCGAGATTTCGTATCCAATGAAAATATCGAAACCTCCCCCGATACCGGTCGAATATGTACTTTCCGATTCTCTCGAATTTCCAGTTCAGGTTGTTGGTAAACGATCATCGAATGTATAATCGAATGTATCGATTTATAATTGTTGCGCGTTGCGAAATGACAGAAACAACAATTAACTACGATTGTTTGTTAACGAGTGAAAAATAATTGTATTTTTGCAGCCGATGGTAGCGGATGCGGTCCCAATAGCTACAAATGTCTCGATGGCACCTGTATACCGGCTACTTTAGTGTGTAACTATCAGAAAGATTGCGAAACTGCGGAAGATGAATTTCAATCTTGTCGTAAGTATTTTTTTCAATTAATCTTTACAAATTATACGTTCGATATCGTATCGATACATTTTTCTTTTAATATTAATCTTCCTAATTTATCGAAAATAATATAAAAGTAACGAGATTGTAGAGATTTCGAGTTAACTAACGATAGAGATGGAACATGGAAAAATAATATTCATGATCGACACGAATTACACTTCCGGGAAGAAGATTCGAATTTTTCTTGATGCGCATCCGCTACACGCGAGACTCTCGTAAAAAAAAAGAACATTCAACACGATGATGTATGAATTATATTCGACACAAGTTTGCGTAATTGTCGTTTTTTCTTAATTTTTAGATTGTATCCAATGATGTAAGTGTTGTTTCGCAATAATCATGTTATCTTTTCAACTATTATAGAATTAAAAATTATGTTTGCGAACAGTAGGTACGTATAAATATAAATGAAATTTATGAATTTTCAGCAAATTTCATCTACAGTTTATAGTTAATGCAATGAACCAGAAACCATGATTACGGTACAAATAAGTTCTATTAAGAACCTGCACGAGAAATGTATTAGATGCGTTTACATATGCTGCGATAATTAAACTGCTAATTCTGAGCTTTCTCCGATAAAGATTCATCGGTCCTTGTTTTAAGTCTACTTCATTGTAGTATCTATAGTTGTGTTACTAACTAGTTTCGTTGCCTGCTAGCCCAAAAGTGTATTTGATAAAATAGAATAGCGAGATAATCAGAGACGTTATGATAATACAAAAGAGATAGGTAATGAATTATAAACCAAAAGTAAAATGATAAGATAGTATATTGACAGAGAAACAGACACCGTTCCTCTAAACAGAATATGGGATATTATAAAAAATATTAAACAAAGTATATTAGTACCATGGAAGTAAACTAAAATATTCACATTTTTGTACGCTTCTTTAAGTAATATATGAAATATTCTTCGAGCTATCAAGTATATAGAGAAGAAAATATTGATCGGTGATGCAAAATGCGTTTTGAAAGAGTCTTTGTAAAAATTTGAATATTTGATATTCGAATGCACGTAATAGAAATAATGATTTAATTTATATTTACAGCACCACCTGACTGCGAGGCTGGGCAGATCACCTGTGGCCAATATATTTTTAACAAGACTTATTGTATACCGCCTCATCAGAGGTGTGACATGACCGTTGATTGCGTCGACGGAACCGATGAAGCCGGTTGTAGTAAGTATTTAATTAATTTCTATCTAAATAAATATCCTTAGAAATGACTTAGTAAATAAATGCATTGTGGTTACATTGATATTTCTGTATGAAGAAGGGAAAGCAAATTATTGGAAGAAGTTGGCAAGTAAGGGAACCTTAAACAGATTACAGGAAATGTCAGCCGGACGACTTCCGGTGTGGTGGCACAACACCGGAGCTTTGTATCCCAAAGGAGAAGAAGTGCAACGGGTACCTAGACTGTAGAAACGGTCGGGACGAAGAAAAATGCGCTATTAATATGAGACCGGCTTGTCGTTTGGATCAATTCAGATGTAATTCCACGCAACGTTGTATAGACCAATCAGCCAGGTGTAATTATAAGGATGACTGCGAGGATAATAGCGACGAGGAGAACTGCAGTACGTTTCAACTTTGAGTCTTTTTTTTTCCGCACGTAACAGGCCGACGATTCGTTGTAAAAGAGTTACACTGTCTAAAATCTGAAACTTTCCTTCGTTTAAGATGGTCCTATCGCCTATATGTATACTCTATCGTATCGTCTATAGACACCAGTGAAAGTTCCGAAATATTCGCCGTACCAAAATAGAGATTTACCGACTCGACCGTTGAACCGGTATGTCGCGATAGGACCAGCTTAATGTTTCATTAAAGTGCGTCTGGTACTTTCTGAATGAATATACTTTCAAGATAAGATATTACTGGCTGAAAGAATAACGAGGGCCGTGTGTACACTGTTACTCGCGTAAATAGGAATCGCGCGATTAAAAACACTTTCTTTGTAGCCTGTACAGAAAGTACCGCAACTAAGCTCGAGGATTTTCAGACTTTCAGCCATGCGCGATCAATCAATTTCGCTGCGCGAACGCGCTTTGTATACCAAAGTCGTATCATTGCGACGGATACAAGGATTGTCATGACGGTTCCGACGAGAAGTCTTGCACGATGACATCCTGTCCGGGAAATAAATTCATGTGTCCGAAAGGAACGGAGGACGGCAAGCCTCTTTGCATAGACCGGTCTCAGCTTTGCGACGGGAAGCCTGACTGTGAAGACGAAACGGACGAAGGTTTTGCTTGTTGTGAGTGTTAAAGTCTCGTATATCAGGTTTTCCTATCCGTGTTAATTTAATAACCGATTTAGAAATACCATGAACCTAATTGAACGATGCGATTAAGAAACATGTATTGTTTTCTGTTTCAATAACGACCTTTTAGTGGATCGTTGGGGCAGGTACGTTTGTCTTGACATTTCGTTTGGCAAAAGTTAAATTCGAGTAGATCGTTTAAAATTATTCGATGGTCGTAGAAAAATTAGTGACGAGATTAAGAGAGTACAGGGTTATCATCGAGATGTTACTTTCTTTGTTCGCAGCAACAAATATGTGTAATACCTTACGATGTCATTATAAATGTCGAGCCTCTCCCACGGGAGGAGTGTGTTATTGCCCTGCGGGATGGGTTCTCGCGAACGACTCGAGAACGTGCGTTGGTACGTATGATCTTTTCATCTAACCTAAACGATATTATTTTGATAAATCAACGAATCAGACGCGATCTCAATTCTTAGAAGAAAAAAAAAAAAAAAAAATCACTAAGAGAGCTTACAATTTATTCACACAGATCGTGACGAGTGTTCGGAGTGGGGTTTCTGCGAACAATTATGCGAAAATACAGAAAGTTCGTACATTTGCAGTTGCGCTTCGGGTTTTGTACTGCAAGGACATAACAAATGTCGGGCAGTGCAACATCCCGGTGTAAAATTGGAACTGTTAATTGCTCAGGAACGTGCCGTTTGGAGGATGTCAGCGAACGGCGAAGATAGGAGCATCATCGCGAATACAACCGGTGCTAGCGGAGTAGATTATCTCTATTCGAGAGATTTGCTTTTCTGGAGCGACGTAAAAACTAGGAAGGTACATTCCGAGCCGTTGACCGGTTCCGAGGGTACCGGTTCGAACGTGGATATATTTTTGGCAAGTTCATGGGGACCTGTGGCCATTGCCGTCGATTGGATAGGAGAGAAGTTGTACGTGGTAGACTCTATAGTTCAGAAAATCGACGTTTTCGAATTAGACGGTAGATACCATGGTATCGCGTTGGGCTCGAACTTAACGAACCCAACGGACATCGGTCTGGACCCTACGGTGGGTTTGATGTTCGTTGCCGATAGTAAACAGGTATTGAGAGCGAACATGGACGGGACCGTAGCTTTCCCGGTTGTTTCCGAGGCAGCGTACAAAGTGTCTGGCATTGCCGTGGACGTTATCGCCCGAAGGATATTCTGGTGCGACTCTCAACTGGATTATATAGAAACAGCCGATTATTTAGGAAGGAACAGAGTGATGGTACTGCGAGGACCGCATACTCCGTCGCCGACTAGATTGACGCTATTCGAGAACAAGATCTATTGGACAGACGGTACGAAGCAAGCGATTATGAGCGTCGACAAGACCGAGGGTGACTATTCGATACAGACTATTTATAAGATGAGAGACGCAAAGGCTATAAAGGCGCTGCATCCGTTGACTCAACCATCGGTTTCGAATCCTTGCGGGAACAATAATGGCGGTTGCCAGCATATGTGCATCGTTACCGCGGCCAGCGATCAAGAGAATAGATTGGGTTATCGATGCGCTTGCGACATAGGATGGAGATTGTCGAGCGATCAAAGGAATTGTAACTTGGTCCAGGAGTTTCTCATGTATTCGCAGCAAAGGTTTATAAAAGGCAGAGTATTGGATCCTGTTATGGAGGGCTTCAGCGACGCTATTTTGCCTGTAGTTTCGAGGCGAGCCAGATTCGTTGGATTAGATTACGACGCGCACGATCAGTACATTTATTACAGCGACGTATTGCAAGACGTAATTTATCGGATCCATCAAAACGGTACGGGACGAGAAATCGTTTTGGCTAGTCAGAACGAGGGCGTGGAAGGTTTAGCGGTTGACTGGGCGGCGAAAAATCTCTATTACATCGATTCGCGAAAAGGTACATTGAACGTGCTCAGTACACAGAACGTAACGTACCGTAGAACGTTGCTAAAGAATCTGAAACGACCTCGAGCGATTGTTATTCATCCGAATCACGGGTACATATTTTTCTCGGAATGGGATCGACCGGCTAATATCAGCAGAGCCTATACCGACGGTTCGAATTTGATAGTGTTCAGAAATTTGACGCTCGGCTGGCCGAATGGTCTAGCGATCGATTTCGCGAAGGATAGACTGTATTGGTGCGACGCTCTGTTGGATCACGTGCAACATTCGAACTTGAACGGCACGGATGTCCGTACAGTTAACTCACGGCTGATCCGACATCCGTTTTCCATGGCGATTCACGAAGATTGGATGTACATCACCGATTGGCGATTGGACGCCATAATACGACTACACAAAGAGACCGGGGAACAAGAGGTGGTTCTGGTACGCGAACCCGCATCGAACAGATTGTACGGAGTGAAGGTGTTCAGTCGCGATATTCAGACCTCTACACCGGATCATCCGTGCTCGATCAACAACGGCGGTTGCGATAAGCTCTGCTTCGCTGTTCCCCAGAACAATACGAATAGATACGGTACCGCTCGATTGACGCGAGTCTGCGGCTGCCCGTACGGCGAACGTATTCAACCGGACGGGAGATCGTGCGCGCTCGATCCGGAAGCCGAACCACCGTTAGAGGCCTGCCCGAACAAGTTGGACTTTACCTGCGCGAATCAGAGGTGCGTGTCGTACACGTGGGTTTGCGACGGCGAAAACGACTGTTTGGATAACAGCGACGAACAGAATTGTACAAAACCGACATGCGGTCCGAACGAGTTTCAGTGCAAGTCCGGCAGATGCGTACCGATCAGTTTCCGGTGCGATTCCGAGAACGATTGCGGGGATTACAGCGACGAGGTCGGTTGCCCGAACATATCCTGTAGCGCGAATCAGTTCGCCTGCGCGAATTTCAGGTGTATACCGAACACGTGGAAGTGCGACTCGGAGAACGACTGCGGCGACAGTTCGGACGAAGGGGACTTTTGCGTCGCGAAAACCTGCTCGTTCTTCCAGTTCACCTGTCCGCGATCGGGACACTGCATTCCCCAGTCGTGGGTCTGCGACGGCGACAACGATTGTTTCGATCAGCAAGACGAGATGGACTGTCCACCGGTCACCTGTCTGAGCACTCAGTTTACGTGCGCCGATCAGAAAATGTGCGTCCTAGATTCGTACAAATGCGACGGTATATCGGATTGTAACGACGGTAGCGACGAGGTTGGTTGTCCTTCGTTGGCACCGGACCAGTGTAACACCGACAGACAGTTTCAATGCGTCAGTTCGGCGATATGCATACCGAAGAGTTGGTACTGCGACGGCACCGCGGACTGTCCGGACAAGTCCGACGAACCGACCCCTTGCGGGCAGGTCAGTTGTCAGCCAGGATTTTTCAAGTGTCGCAACGATAAGTGCGTGTTCAAGGCGTACATCTGCGACGGGAAGGACGACTGCGGCGATGGTTCCGACGAGGACACCGAGTTACACGCTTGCACCGCGCCCGAATTCAAGTGCGACTCCCAGCAATGGAAGTGTCCGAACGTTACCGACCGATGCGTAAACGTGACGAGCGTTTGCGACGGTAAATTCGACTGTCCGAATGGCGCGGACGAGGGTCCGGGTTGCGACATACCGGAATGCAAGTATCGAGGCGGTTACTGTAGCAACGGTTGCATACAGACACCACTGGGGAATGCTTCGCTGTTCCCCAGAACAATACGAATAGATACGGTACCGCTCGATTGACGCGAGTCTGCGGCTGCCCGTACGGCGAACGTATTCAACCGGACGGGAGATCGTGCGCGCTCGATCCGGAAGCCGAACCACCGTTAGAGGCCTGCCCGAACAAGTTGGACTTTACCTGCGCGAATCAGAGGTGCGTGTCGTACACGTGGGTTTGCGACGGCGAAAACGACTGTTTGGATAACAGCGACGAACAGAATTGTACAAAACCGACATGCGGTCCGAACGAGTTTCAGTGCAAGTCCGGCAGATGCGTACCGATCAGTTTCCGGTGCGATTCCGAGAACGATTGCGGGGATTACAGCGACGAGGTCGGTTGCCCGAACATATCCTGTAGCGCGAATCAGTTCGCCTGCGCGAATTTCAGGTGTATACCGAACACGTGGAAGTGCGACTCGGAGAACGACTGCGGCGACAGTTCGGACGAAGGGGACTTTTGCGTCGCGAAAACCTGCTCGTTCTTCCAGTTCACCTGTCCGCGATCGGGACACTGCATTCCCCAGTCGTGGGTCTGCGACGGCGACAACGATTGTTTCGATCAGCAAGACGAGATGGACTGTCCACCGGTCACCTGTCTGAGCACTCAGTTTACGTGCGCCGATCAGAAAATGTGCGTCCTAGATTCGTACAAATGCGACGGTATATCGGATTGTAACGACGGTAGCGACGAGGTTGGTTGTCCTTCGTTGGCACCGGACCAGTGTAACACCGACAGACAGTTTCAATGCGTCAGTTCGGCGATATGCATACCGAAGAGTTGGTACTGCGACGGCACCGCGGACTGTCCGGACAAGTCCGACGAACCGACCCCTTGCGGGCAGGTCAGTTGTCAGCCAGGATTTTTCAAGTGTCGCAACGATAAGTGCGTGTTCAAGGCGTACATCTGCGACGGGAAGGACGACTGCGGCGATGGTTCCGACGAGGACACCGAGTTACACGCTTGCACCGCGCCCGAATTCAAGTGCGACTCCCAGCAATGGAAGTGTCCGAACGTTACCGACCGATGCGTAAACGTGACGAGCGTTTGCGACGGTAAATTCGACTGTCCGAATGGCGCGGACGAGGGTCCGGGTTGCGACATACCGGAATGCAAGTATCGAGGCGGTTACTGTAGCAACGGTTGCATACAGACACCACTGGGGAAACAGTGTACCTGCCCCGCGGGCGAGGAGCTCGGCGCGGACGGTTACGCGTGTCAGGACGTGGACGAATGCGAGCCACCCGGTCGTTGTTCTCAGATCTGCGTGAACGTGAAGGGTAGCTACTATTGTAACTGCGTGGACGGTTACAGTCTGGAGGGTGACAAGCACACGTGTAAAGCGTTCAATCACAGCGCGGCGTTTCTTATCATATCGAACAGACATACGATTCTCGTAGCTGATCTACAGGATCAGGCGTTGGAGAGGGTACCGATTAACGTGGAGAACGTGGTCGCGACCGTCAGCAACATGCACACGGGCACGATATTTTGGTCCGACATGAAATTGAAGAAGATATCGAGGCTCGACAGAGGCAGCGATCCCGAGGACGTAATTCTGACCGGGTTAGATCTGGTCGAAGGTCTTGCCTACGATTGGATCGGTCAAAACCTCTATTGGTTAGATTCGAAATTGAATACGATCGAAGTGGCGAGGGAGAACGGTGCCGATAGAATGATCCTGGTTAAGGAGAACATCACGCAGCCTAGAGGAATGTGTTTGGACCCCAGCCCCGGCGCGAGATGGTTGTTCTGGACAGACTGGGGCGAGAATCCTCGGATCGAGAGGATCGGTATGGACGGTACCAACAGGTCGACCATCATCAGCACCAAGATTTACTGGCCGAACGGTTTGGCTTTGGATATAGCGAACAAAAGGATATATTTCGCCGACAGTAAATTGGACTTTATCGATACTTGCCTGTACGACGGAACGAAAAGAATTCAGGTGTTGGCCAGTTCTCATTACCTGTTGCATCCGCATTCGTTGACACTGTTCGAGGACACGATGTACTGGACGGACAGGCAACTGAACAGAGTGTTATCGGCTCACAAGTTTTACGGCGTGAATCAGACGGTCGTGTCGCATTTGATATCTCAGCCGTTGTCGATACATGTTCATCATCCGGTGTTGCAACCTATTACACCGAACCCATGCGAGAACGCCAGCTGCGGTCATCTGTGTCTCCTCTCCCCGACGAGCCCGGAGGGATACAGTTGCAAGTGTCAAGTAGGATTCCGATTGTTACCGAACGGGCAGTGCTTGGAGGAGGAAACTCCATATTTGATGGTGCTGCGAGGCTCGCAGATCGTCGACGTGTCGTTGATACCTGGCAGTACCAACACGGGTTACATCACGCCCGTGGTCGGTGTCGAGGGTGGTAAATTCGTCGACTACGACAGAAAAGAACGAACGATATACTGGCTGCAGACGAAGGACGACGACGACGAGAACGGAACGATTTACACGACCCCGTACAGCGGCGGTAACAGAACGGAGTTTCCTAATCCGTCCGGCGAAAGCGGCTCGACAGAGGCAGCGATCCCGAGGACGTAATTCTGACCGGGTTAGATCTGGTCGAAGGTCTTGCCTACGATTGGATCGGTCAAAACCTCTATTGGTTAGATTCGAAATTGAATACGATCGAAGTGGCGAGGGAGAACGGTGCCGATAGAATGATCCTGGTTAAGGAGAACATCACGCAGCCTAGAGGAATGTGTTTGGACCCCAGCCCCGGCGCGAGATGGTTGTTCTGGACAGACTGGGGCGAGAATCCTCGGATCGAGAGGATCGGTATGGACGGTACCAACAGGTCGACCATCATCAGCACCAAGATTTACTGGCCGAACGGTTTGGCTTTGGATATAGCGAACAAAAGGATATATTTCGCCGACAGTAAATTGGACTTTATCGATACTTGCCTGTACGACGGAACGAAAAGAATTCAGGTGTTGGCCAGTTCTCATTACCTGTTGCATCCGCATTCGTTGACACTGTTCGAGGACACGATGTACTGGACGGACAGGCAACTGAACAGAGTGTTATCGGCTCACAAGTTTTACGGCGTGAATCAGACGGTCGTGTCGCATTTGATATCTCAGCCGTTGTCGATACATGTTCATCATCCGGTGTTGCAACCTATTACACCGAACCCATGCGAGAACGCCAGCTGCGGTCATCTGTGTCTCCTCTCCCCGACGAGCCCGGAGGGATACAGTTGCAAGTGTCAAGTAGGATTCCGATTGTTACCGAACGGGCAGTGCTTGGAGGAGGAAACTCCATATTTGATGGTGCTGCGAGGCTCGCAGATCGTCGACGTGTCGTTGATACCTGGCAGTACCAACACGGGTTACATCACGCCCGTGGTCGGTGTCGAGGGTGGTAAATTCGTCGACTACGACAGAAAAGAACGAACGATATACTGGCTGCAGACGAAGGACGACGACGACGAGAACGGAACGATTTACACGACCCCGTACAGCGGCGGTAACAGAACGGAGTTTCCTAATCCGTCCGGCGAAAGCGGAATCGTCGGTGCTCCGTCCGCCATGGCGTTCGATTGGCTCGGCAGAAATCTCTTCATTGGGAATAAGTACGCTTCGAATATCGAGGCTATAAAGGTCGACGGTAAGATCAGATATCGTACGATAGTGCTCGCCAACGATGGGAACAAAAGCTCGGTCGCGAAACCGAAGGCTATGTGCGTCGATCCGTTGGAGGGACACATATTCTGGATCGACGACGGCAGTTTCGGCATTCCGACCAAGATCGGCCGGGTGAACATGGACGGTACAAATCCTATGATACTTGTTAACAAAGTCGAGAGACTCGAGGCGATCACGATCGACATTCCCACCAAGACGATTTACTTCAGTTCCCTGTACCCGGCTCTCGTGATGGCGATATCCACCGACGGACGTAATCTAAGAACGATCGTCTCCGAGAACATAGCGTTACCGAAAGCTCTCGCCGTCCACGAGTCCCGGTTGTACCTTCTCGATCCGCGTTACGACAAAATCGAAAGGGTGGACTTGCCGGACGGAGGTAATCCGACCATCATAATCGACAACGACTCCGAACTGAAGACGTTAACCATTTACAAGAAACGAGTGACCGGCGATCATCCGTGTTTCGTCAACAACGGCGGATGCGAGCAAATCTGTCTGCCCGCTTCCGGTGGGACGAGAGTGTGCGCGTGCGGCATGGAGTATCGGAAAGTAAGCGACACGGCTTGCGAGCCGTTCAAAAGTTTCGCCGTGGTCACGCAACTGGACGTGGCCAGAGGTTACAGTTTGAACGATGCCAAAGAGGCGATGGTACCTATATCTGGCGTCGGTCATCACATCCTCCACGTGGACGTTCACTACGCGGGCAACTGGATCTACTGGGTAGAGTTCAGTCGAGAAATATGGAACGGCGTATTTCGCGTTAGACCGAACGGCACCGAGCTGCAGCACATCGTGAAACAGGGTATCGGCTCGAACGGCATCAGAGGTCTGGCCATCGATTGGGTAGCTGAAAATCTTTATTTCACCAACGTCTTCCCTCACGACAATTACGTCGAGGTGTGCAAGCTGGACGGCAGCAACAGAAAAGTACTCGTTAAGAAGACGACGGATTCGCCGAGAGAGTTGGCCGTGAATCCCATAAAACGATACCTCTATTGGATAGATTATGGTCAGTACCCGAGGTTGGGTAAGGCTTACTTGGACGGTAGCAATTGGGTGCCTATCGTAACCTCCGGCATCAGCACGCCTCGCGACATAACCATCGATCTTGCGACGCACGACGTTTACTGGGTGGACTCGAAACAGGACACTATTCAGAAGGTATCGTACACGGGTGCTAATCGGGAAATCATCAGGCGCAACTTGCCTAATCCTATGGGTGTCGCGATTTACGGTAACGACGTCTACTGGGTGGATAGAAATTTGGCGACGGTATTCAAAGCGAGCAAACGAGCGAACGTCAGTCTACCAACGACTGTCAGATCGAATCTGCCTAAGCTGAGGGACATCGTGATGTTCGATCAGAACAGTCAGCCACCGGATCCCGGTAATCCTTGCTCGCGTGGCGGAATCGCGAACTGCCAACAGCTTTGCTTCGCCATGCCGAAGGAAATGCCGAAGGAAATGCCGACTTCTTTCAAGTGCGAGTGCGCCGTTGGCAAGTTAGCGGCGGACGGGAAGAGTTGCGAGAACGTCGACGAGTATCTGGTGTTCGCGACCAGAACAGAGATCAGGGGTATCGGGTTGGATCCGCGAAACACCAGCGTACCGTTCAACGCGGTCGGAAATCTTACCAACGTGGTGGGCGTAGATTTCGATTATCAGGACAAGAAGTTACTGTTCACGCAGATCAGACCGTGGGCGAGGATCGCCTGGATGCAGGCGGATAATCCTTCCTCGTCCGAGATCCATACCCTGATCAGCAAGGGTATCAATCCCGAAGGGATTTCCTACGATTGGACTCAGAAAAAGGTCTACTGGACCGATTCTTCGAACAACAGTATTTACGCGATGGACATTGACGGCTCGAATCTCGTGATGATCGCCAGGGTAGACAGACCGAGAGCCATCGTGGTGGATCCTTGCAACGGCTCGTTGTACTTCACCGATTGGGGTCGGTTCGGCACGTCCGGCAAGATCTTCAGAACGACGATGGCCGGCTCGCTGAAGAAAGCCATTATCGACAAGGATCTCTCTCAGCCCAGCGGATTGGCGATCGACTACGAGGATCGTATGCTATATTGGACCGACGCGGTCAGAGAGAAGATCGAACGTTCCGAGTTGGACGGTAAGAATCGTCAGGTATTGGTAAGCGCGACGATATACCCGTTCGCTATAACCGTATTTCGGGAACACATTTACTGGACGGATCTGCAGCTGAGGGGTGTCTATCGCGCGGAAAAACATACCGGAGCGAATAAAGTAGAGCTGGTTAAACGATTGGAAGACTCGCCCAGAGACTTGCATATTTATTCGGCGGCTAGACAGCAGTGCAAGGTGAACCCGTGCAACATATCCAACGGTGGTTGCGACCAGTCATGTCACCCGGGCATAAACGGTTCGGCCGAATGCAAGTGTGACGACAACAGCAGACTCGTCAACGAGGACAGGATGTGCGTGCCGAAGAACGTCACCTGCGATTCGAGCAAGTTCGCCTGCAGAAACGGACGGTGCATATCGAGGATGTGGGCTTGCGACGGCGACGACGATTGCGGCGACGGTTCCGACGAGGACACCAACTACTGCTCCTATCACTCCTGTAGTCCGAACGAGTTCCGGTGCAACAACGGCCGGTGTATCTTCAAAACTTGGAAATGCGACTACGAGAACGATTGCCGCGACGGCAGCGACGAGGAGGGATGCGTCTACCCTCCCTGTGCACCCGGCGAGTTCACTTGCGCCAATTACCGGTGCATCCCTCAATCTCAGGTCTGCAACGGCATCAACGAGTGCAAGGACAACGTTACGTCCGACGAAACGCACGAGCGCTGCCCCAGGAACACCACCTGTCCACCTAACCACCTCAAGTGCGAGAAGACCAACATATGCGTCGAGCCCTACTGGCTGTGCGACGGCGACAACGATTGCGGAGATAACAGCGACGAGAATCCGTTGTATTGCGCGCTGAGAACCTGCCCGCAGAGCAGTTTCAGATGCCCGAATCACAGATGCATCCCTGCTACCTGGTATTGCGACGGGGACGACGATTGTTTGGACGGTAGCGACGAACCGCCTGGCTACTGTCAATCGGAGGGTCGAACTTGCTTCGGTGACCTGTTCACCTGCGACAACGGCAACTGTATACCCAGGATATATATTTGCGACGGGGACAACGACTGTTTGGACCATTCCGACGAGGATGAACGGCATCAATGTAACGATAGGAAATGCGACGAGGAAGTGGAATTCACCTGTACGGCTAACAAGGTGTGGAACAGGGCCCAATGCATCCCGAAGAAGTGGCTGTGCGACGGAGATCCGGATTGCGTGGACGGCGCCGACGAGAACGTCACCTTGCTCCACTGTCCTACGCCGACACCTTGCGCCGAGAACCAGTTCACCTGCGACAACGGCCGTTGCTTGAATCAGAATTGGCTCTGCGATCACGACAACGACTGTGGCGACGGTAGCGACGAAGGGAAATTCTGTAACTCGAGATACAAATCTTGCACGGCTCAGGAGTTCACTTGTCACAACTTCAAATGCATTAGGAAACAGTTCCGTTGCGATGGCCAGGATGACTGTGGCGATCATTCGGACGAGGATGGATGTCGTGAGTATTAGTTTATTTTCACCGCACCTCTTTCTCGATGCTCTTCTAACAAGGTCATTTCTCTTTACGATTAATTAGCCTCGAAGGTAAAGAACACGACTTGTCCAAACCCGGGAGAGTTCATGTGCGCGAATGGTAATTGCATCGACCAGCAGTTGGTCTGCAACAAGGAAGTCGATTGCGCGGACGAGAGCGACGAGCCTGCTCATTGCAACGTGGACGAATGCGCTCGTGTCGAGATGAATCAGTGCGCGCATAAATGCGTCGACACTCCGACCAGTTACTACTGCGAATGTAATCCGGGTTATAGGTTGTTGGCTGACGGTAAAGCTTGCGAAGACATCGACGAATGCACGGAGACGCCTCAAGTCTGCAGTCAACAGTGTCAAAACACACCGGGAAGTTTTTACTGCAAGTGCAATCATTATTGGTACGAACGTGCCTCTGACGAGCATACTTGCAAGAGAAGGGACAACATCAAACCTTGGATCATATTCACGAACAAGTACTACGTCAGGAACATGTCCATAGACGCTCACAACTATAGCTTGATGCACCAAGACCTGATCAACGTTGTCGCTTTGGATGCCGATTACTCGGAACAGATGCTCTATTTCTGCGACGTTACGGCCAAAACCATCTTCAGGCAAGTTTCGACGCCGTACGATTCTCGTTCTATTTTTGTTCGTTTAAAAGATGCCGCCGCGATGCAACGAGATTCCCTCGTTTTCGATAATCTTTTATCCCTGTAATTTATTGCCCCGTTTAGAGCACCCATCGCAGGAGGCGAAAGGGAAGCGATCATCAGACACGACAGCCTCGGTTTGGAAGGAATAGCGATCGATTGGGTGGGTCGGAAACTTTATTGGCTCGACCGACATGCCAAACATTTAGACGTTGCCGAACTTAATGGAACAAACAGAAAGACTCTGCTGACCGGTATAGCCGATCCCCGTGCCATCGTTGTTCATCCCGGTACCGGGTATTTGTACTTCACATCTTGGCACCTTCAGGTAAGTCGGCGTAACAGCGTAGCTGTCGGTGAAACTCTCGGACGAATATATTTTCTTACGCTTCGTGCATAGGCATACATAGGCAAGATGGGTATGGATGGCAGTAATTTTTCAAGGATCCTCACCTGGGAAGACGACATCGCCTGGCCAAACGCTCTAACCATCGACTACTTTACCGACCGAATATTTTGGGCGGACGCTCATCTCGATTACATAGCGTTCGCTGATTTGGAAGGTCATAATAGGCGCAAGGTCCTGACCGGTGCCGCTGTGCCACACGTCTTCGCCATTACCGTATTCGACGACTTCATTTTCTGGACGGATTGGAACTTGAAGGCCATCAGTAGAGCAGAAAAGTTCTCCGGAGCGAATTTGCGAATACTTCGAAACACTACTCACAGGCCGTACGACATTCACGCGTATCATCCTCTGCGGCAGCTACCTTATAATAATCCGTGCATGAAAAACAACGGCGGATGTTCTCATCTTTGTCTGATTTCGCCACCTGCCAGTTCTTATTTGCTCGAAGGATACGGACAACCCGGTGTCACGTCGTACAAGTGTAAATGTCCGAATCAGTTCGTACTAGAAAAGGACGGTAAAACATGCAGAGCGAATTGTACCGCTGGCCAACATCGCTGTGGACCACCGGACGAAAAGTGCATACCCTGGTACTGGCAGTAAGTATCTCTTTACCCTCGTGTACCGGCATCGTGTACGCGTGTTTAATCTGATACATTCGTCGTGTTATTTGCCGAAAAGATGCGACGGCGAGAAGGACTGTAAGGATGGTTCGGACGAGCCGACCAGTTGTCCGGCACGCGTTTGCAGACCGAGCGTTTTCCAATGCACGAACGGTAACTGTAGACCCAGCGTGGCAGTCTGCGATGGTGCCGACGACTGCGGCGACAAAAGCGACGAAGCTCTCTGCGCATTGGATTGCGGCGAATTGGAATTCAAGTGCAAATCCAACGGACGTTGCATCCACGAGTCTTGGAAATGCGACGGGGACGCTGATTGCAAGGATGGCAGTGACGAGGATCCTGCTATTTGTCGTGAGAACCTTTTAACCGTTTCTTCTATACTCTATTCACCGTTCGGTGAAAGGATTATAAATGTAATTGGTGTTTTTGCGCAGATAATCGACAGTGCGATCCAAGCACAGAATTCACTTGCAAAAATGGCAGATGCATACAGAAGGTATGGATGTGCGACTCCGACAACGATTGCGGCGATGACAGCGACGAACCGGCATACATGTGTCGTCAAAGAAATTGCACGACTGGTTGGCAACGTTGCCCGGGCCACGCCAATTACCGTTGTATTCCAAAATGGTTGTTTTGCGATGGAAAAGACGATTGTCGAGACGGTTCCGACGAACTGCCCGAAAATTGTCCGAAATGTCACCCCGACATGGACTTCAAATGCGCGAATAACAGATGCGTACCGAAACAATGGCTCTGTGATTTCGCTGACGACTGTGGCGACGGCAGCGACGAAGCCGAAGCTATGTGCAAAGAGCGTTACAGGGAATGTTCGGAATCGGAGTTTCGATGCGACAACGGCAAATGTATTGCCTCTAGATGGAGATGCGACAGCGAGGACGACTGTGGCGATAATAGCGACGAAAATGGATGTCAGACATTCGTGTGCAAGGTATATTTTCTTAGCGGAACAATCGATAATAATAATAATATAACAATAATAATTTCATAATAATATCTGTTACAGAATTACACGTTCCAATGCGCGAGTGGCCACTGCATAGCGTCGTACTTGCGATGCGACGGAACACGAGATTGTCGAGACATGAGCGACGAGATAGGATGCCCACCCAGATATCCGGGCGGAAGGTATTGTCCACAATCGAGATTCCAGTGCGACAACAATCTTTGCGTTTACCTCACGGACATATGCGACGGAAGCGACGATTGCGGCGACGGTTCGGACGAGAATGCCAACATGTGTGGTACGATTTTCGCGGTCGTTAATCTACCGGTTGTTCGGGAAACCTCGACCGAGTCTAATCGAACGAATGAAACTTTTCAGCGAACTTCAAGTGCGATACCACTAGAAGATTCCAATGCGCCAATCATAAATGTATCGCCAAGTATCAGTTGTGCGACGGTATCGATAATTGTGGCGACGGATCTGACGAGAACAATATGACGATGTGCTTCTCTCGAATTCGTCCTTGCGATCCTATCACCGAGTACACCTGTGCGAACAAGAAATGCGTCGACAGGTCGAAACTGTGCGATTTTGCCGACGACTGCGGCGACTCTTCCGACGAGCTCGGTTGCCGTAAGTGTTTCTCTTCTCGTCTGTACGTACACGAAAATGCAATTTATTTTTACTATAAGACTTTTTATCTTACACAGATCACAACAAGCCCTGTTTGGAAAGCAATAAAGGCGGTTGTTCGCACTACTGTCACAACATCACCGACGGAGGCTATATTTGTGCCTGTTATTCCGGTTACATAATCTCGCAAAGCAACAGGAAGCATTGCGAGGACGTCGACGAATGCGCGACGGGTCAGCATCAGTGTTCTCAGATCTGCACCAACATGAACGGCACCTATTCTTGTTCCTGCAGACAAGGTTTTCAACTATCGGATAATCGCAGCGGCGTCTGCAAAGCTCTCGACACGGAAGCGATGGTCTTGTTCGCGAACGGGCCCGGAATAAGAGCGTACGACGTACGCGACAAGGAAGAGATCGAAGTTATAACGAACGAGAAGAGAGTGCAGGCTGTCGACTTTGATCCCAAGGCAGAGTACGTGTTCTGGATCGATGGTCCCGATAATTCCATCAGACGATCGTACATGGTGAACGCTAAGGGTGGCCAAGTGCAAATCGGATACGCGCAGGATCTCAATATAAAGAGCGACTCGTTACCAACTGGTTTGGCGGTAGATTGGATCTCTGGCAATCTGTATTGGACGGAAGTGGATACCTCGGGAGCAACACAGTCCGGTCGAGTGATGGTCTCGAAATCGGACGGTAGATACCGACGAAGTTTGGTGACGGTCGGGTTAGAATTGCCGACCGCGATCGTGTTGGATCCGGAACGAGGTCGCGCCATCTGGGCAGACGCCGGAGGTCAACCTAAAATCGAAATCGCTTGGATGGACGGCGACAGACGAAAACAACTGGTTTCCGACCGAATCGAACAACCGATCGCGCTCGCGATCGATTACTCGATGAATCATGTCCTTTACTGGGCCGATAGAAAGCTTAACACGATCGAATCTATCGAACAGGTAGGTATCTCGTCGTGTTTCGCGTCGATTCTAGTTGTAAAAACATCACCGTTACCTTTTTCAGGATGGCTCGAATAGAAAGGTGATCCTAAAAGGCGAGGGTTTGCACCATCCGGTGTCTTTGGACGTTTTCGAGAGTAGTCTATACTGGACAACCTGGCGAACCGGTGAATTGATGAGACAAGACAAATTTGGCAGAGGCGTGCCGGAAGTTATCATTAAGAACATACCCGGCCCAGGGGGAGTTAAGGTGTACCATCAACAGAGATACAATACCACATTGAGAAATCCCTGCCACGAAGATCAGTGCACGCACCTTTGTGTCCCGATTCCCGGTGGAAGTAGGTGTCTATGTTCGGACAGCATCGGTCCGCTGCAACAGAGAGAGACCGTGAATTCGAACGAGCGGCATTGCGACGCTACCAACGAGAGGCCGTTACCGGCACCGAGAATCTGCCCTTGCAGAAACGGTGGCCTCTGCCAGGAAGCCGAGGACAATAAACTACAGTGTTCTTGCCCGGTTCCCTTCCACGGAGAGTTTTGCGAAGTGATGATAGGAGTTAGATCAGGCAACGCTACCGCCGCGATCGTCATTCCCATCGTTATCTCCGTGTTGGTCCTTCTCGGGGCCGCTGCCGTTATCATGGTGCTGAAAAAGCGTCCGTTGTAAGTAGATTTTCTAACCGCGACGCGATCCTTGTTTATCGACTCTGATCTATTCGAAACTCGAACGTGTTCGCAGCGGTAAGCCTGGAGGTCTTGGCAGTTTAACCGGTGCTCAGAGCGTGTCCTTCAGGCAAGGAAGCAACGTCGAATTCGGTGTGCCTGCTCACGAAAGAATGGTAAGTCCGTGTATATCTATATTTTCAGTTTCGATCGAAATGCGTCTTATCGTTGCGTGTCGAATAGGAACCCCTCGACGTCGAGTACAACCTCGGTGACGTGAGCAACAAGAACAGAGACTTTAGTAATCCGATGTACGACGCGGTAAATACGGAAACGGGCGCCACCAATGGCACCGGTGCGAGCAGCATGTACGAGTTACCTGCTGAAATGAAACCGTCTAGCATCCAGCACAAAGAACCACCGCAGTTGCACCTGAAGAGGAGAGAACTCGATCCCACGCCCGTCGACTCGGGCAAAGACACGCAGCAATTGGTCGAGGAAGACAAGTCCGAGTGTTAGATAGTTTAACTGTTTCGTGCGCAGTGACGTAGTTAGAAATTCGATCAGACGACGCGAACGAAGAATATATATGAATCTTTAACGAGTTATTTCTTTTTTTCTCTTTTTATTTTACTTAATAATACGACGTACCGATTCATTCGGAAATCCATATTTTACTTGAGAGTACTTGATAATCGACGTTCGATTACCGAACACGGTAGAATTTCCCTGAAATCGAAACTCTGAATATCTATGAAAGTCATTTTCCTCGCGGAAATCTACCGTCCTCGGTAATATCGTGTATTCCCTTTTCTTTTTAACGCTGTCCAGTATATCCGCTTTCATCGAACAGGATATTTTATGAAAGACAAGACTGAACCGAAGAAGAAGAAATTTAATGTTCGAGCAGAAGAATGAAAAATTGTAGATGTATAGGGACGAATGCGGAATGAAGCGCGCGTCTAACTACGCCACTGCTATGTAGGGATGCTCTCGCATTTGGGGCACTTTAATCTCGTTGTAATCGATATCGTCGAAAGAAAGAAGCGTTTGATACGCGAATGAAAACGGGGAGTAAGGAGAATAGAAAGAAAGGAAAGGGGGACGTCTCGAGTTCCTTTTCGAGTTACACCGAGACACGAGTGCAACTAATGTCGGGTTCGTGTCATTTTAGGTGCGATTTGTAAGTGTTGTAAATAGGATTATCGCAGAATATTGTCCGTGTACCATAAAGAAGCGAAACATTCCATATTTTCTAAAGCAGCTCGAGGCGTAGGCGCGTCGGTAGAGACATTAAAGGATCGTAAGTTAAAGGATCAGGCCTCGACGAGCGAGTCACCTCACAAATTAAGCGTTTTGTCGCGTTAAAACCGAAGCGAACCTCTTTAGGCGAGAGAAAAGAAACACTTCTTTTCTGCTAAACCTTTTGCTCGGCCACGTGAGCGTTGTTATGCGTTGTACATTTTTCTAGATTATACGTGGAGAACGCCAGTGTACAGTTTTATTCTTCCGCAGCAGCTGTGATCGTTAAAATTTACAAATTGGGTCAGAGTATGCGAGCCAAATGAGCAAAGCGTATTTCTTTTATTTTTCTTTTTTTTCCCCCTCTTTATATGCTCGACACGAGTGAGAGAAATTCGTTTTCTTAAGATCTGTTCGGTACAGTAGAATCTCGATTATAACGATTAAGCGAACTATTTTCTAAGAATCATGCTAGGACGTTTAAATAAGTTTGATTGTAATTTTCGACTCTGCAGTTTGTTGTTGTATGTTGCGTATGAAATTATACAGATTGTTAACTTTACATTCGATCAGTTTCTTTTCTTTCATCACCAACGTTCACCGACCTCTTAAAACTTTTCTTCGTACAGAAACGTTATCGAAGCGATTAGCGTCCACCCTATAACCCGTCGAATCGGTAAGCTAACTAAGCGCTCGGATAATTTCATTACCGACTAGTCGTTACGAAAATAACCGAATTAATCAAGTTTCTACTGTACAGCTTTTTTTATCTTTTTAATGTAACGATTATTTTATCCGAAAGAAAGGTTGTACATAGGTTTACGGATCAACGAAAGTCTCTCTTTACAGATTCTATATATATATATAACAGAGTATACATATAAAGGAAAGATATATGTGTATATGTATATTTTATGTACATACATATATCTATGCATATAGGTAAATCGATGCGCAACATTCGAATCGATTTTAAATTATACCAGTATTTTTTTATCGAACCAACGAAATAATTATTGTTAATATATTATTCGAATAATTAAACAAGTACCGTCCGAGAATAAACGATGAATTTTACCAGTGTGCTTTCATTTCGATCGTAGATAATTTATTACGTAAAGAGTTTTACGAGTGTGCTCGTGGGAAATGTTGATTTCGAAATGAAAAGGAAATTTATTAACTACTACAAACGTTTGAATAAAAGTACAAAAGCGAGTGTGTCAAAGACACCTGTATAAAAATATGGTAAAACAACGTAACAAATATTTTTTTAATAACAAAGGTCATAACGTCAACTCCCGTTCTACCGGAGTACAATAATTATTTTCTTACATGCCTATACGCGTAATAAAACGTTCGCGAACAAGCAACTCGTTGTCTATCGGAAATTTATACGCTTTATATTTATATATATATATATATATATCAGTCTTTACTGTCTAAAATATAAATAAACATTCATAAAAATCACAAGTAGAAAACTTATCGAATAAACAGATTTTGCCGATATTTGTATTCTTCTATTTACAATATGTAAATACGTGATCGAGAGCTAGTCTACTTTCGTCGCCGTTTGTTCGTCGTATTGGATAGAAGGCACCATGGGAGGCTTGAAACCGTACTCCATTTTCGATTGCCTAAAACTGCCGGTGTTACTCTCCTGTCTGGTTCTCCTCATCGTCGACTGAACGTCCGGCGGCGCGTATTGCAACGACTTGGACTGTATTCCGAGAGACAGTTGCACCTTGCGTGGCACAGGTCCCACGTATTCGTCGAGGATCTGATCTTTCTCCGGAAAGGTTCTTCCATAAAATACAAAGTTGGCGTTATTATCGTTCGAGACGGAATAAACGAGCGAATGGGGATAGCGAATCCCGTAGGAGGGAAACTTGTTGTTCATTGTGGGCAACGCGTGCAAGGTTTGTTGTTGTCTGCCGAACGGTCGATTGACGGGATAATAGGATGATCCGTGATACTGCGTGGACGCGGTTGCACCCGGTGCGGTCGTCGTAGCCGTCGCGGTCGAGTTGAAGTAATTCGTGTTCTCGTAATGTCTCGGAATCTGTTTGAAATTCTTCACCGCTTTGGGATTGTCCGGTGGATATGACCTGACGTTCTCCGCGTCCAAAGGACGAGGTCGAGGATGATGCATCGTCTTTTCGATCACCTTCTCTACGGGTATCGGAATCGGAATTGGCACAGACTTTTCCACCACCTTCTCTATCGGGATCGGTATCGGTTGCGGGATTCTGAAATGGATCGGTATCGGTACGATCAGCCTCTGTATCGCGAAAGGCACCTTCTTCTCGATCACCTTCTCCACCTGTATCGGATACGGGATACGGATTTGTTTCTCCACCACCCTGTCGACCGGCACGTGTACAGGAAACGGTTGCGGTATCGTTATCTGCTTCTCTATGACTTTCTCTAGCTGGTTAGGCAGCTTCCGCTCGTCGTTGTTAATCGCGCGAAGCGTCTCCGCGGGATAATGGCGAGGAACGGTGATCGGAGGAAAGCTGAACTCCGTTAGCGACGTCTGTGCCGTATCTTGAGCTTCTCGAGGATTTTCTACGTTCTCCAGAGCCGACAAGCTTTCTATCCCGACTGGCACCGCGGTAGCGAACTTGGATGTACCTTTCGGTGGCTCGAATTCGTTCCGCTCTGGGACCGCTTCCGCCTCGACGACGGTGTCAGGAATCCTTTCGACTCTCGAGTACGTTCCAACTGTCCTATCATGTTCCGCGTTGTCCCTGACATCGACCACAGGCTTAACGTCGGTGACACGAGTTTCCTGACCGGACGAGTTGTCGTCGTCCTCGTTCGCGTTGTACTCGTACCGAGCGCGTTCTCGGTCGTCCGGTATCTCGTTGCTCTTGTAAACGTTCATTTGACCGGGTCTCTGACCGGCTCTCTGTTGCGGTCGTTGCTTCGAATTCGCTTGTTGAACGTAAGGTACAAACTCTAACGGATAGTGTATCTCGTGCACGGGTGCCGTGTGAAAGACTTCGACAGATTTTTGGATTTCCACCGACTGCGCGGACCCATCGGAAGCCACCGATTCCCTTGGCCGATCGATTCGAATGCTCGAATTTCCCGAGTCGCTCGATTCAGGCTCGTCCCGAAGATACTCGCTGACGGGCGCGATCGGCTCGTTCACCGAGTTTAAATCCTGACCGGCGTTCATTAACGCGACGCCCACTTGCAGAGGATTCAATACGGCCGAGGATGCTGTCGGGTAGCCGGACTCTGGTTGCAGCGATTTCTCATCGTCGTCGGTTCTGGCGAACGAGTACTTCTTTCGACGCGGTAGATCCGCCACCACGATTGGACCAGTGAATTTACCGAGAGACACCGCCGCCTGGTCCTTGCCGGTACCATCGTCGCTCTCCTCCTCGTCGTTCGCCAAAGACGAACCGGACAATTTAATTTTCTTGCTTCTCGCGCTACCGGTATATTCTTCTTCGGAATTGGCTCGGTTCGGTACTCCTTTAGGGAACGGATCTGATACGTTCAGTTTCGTGACCGCGAACGGACGAGTATTCTTCCTGCGTTGCTTTCTATAGTTATCGGCGAAGGGCCGAGCATCCAAAGGCCTGAATCGAGCCCGCCCAACGTTTTCGTTGTTCCTCGATCTCGAGGCTGACGAAAAACGAACTCGCTGACCAAAATCCGCTCCGCTCTCGAGGTCCAACTGCTCCGACGAATTCAGATATCCCAGATCGTTCGAATCGTTGTCTCCTGCAGGATGGTTGGACGTCGCGATCGAATGTTGCGGTAAAATTTCTTTCGTCGGGACACGTTGGAGCGCGTTGACGGTCTCGTTTGTACCGCTTTGACTGGTTCTCGCCGGTCTCGAAACATTTTTGCTCGTTTCGCTATAGGCCTGCTCGGTATCGATACTTAACGATGGGGACGAGCCAGCTTGAACAAGTTTATTCTGAAAGAAAATTAAAACGCTTGTTTAGAACGTAGTAAATATCGATGTGAATCGTGCAGCTGCTCGATGGAATAATCGTTTCGTTTTACCGGCGAAAGCGTGTAAGAAGGTTATCGAAGATGCTTCTGACGCAACGCGAGTTACAAGCATGCAGAAACGGATGGCCCTGAGAAGAGTGATTCCAGTGAAACGGAATGATTTAGGCGTGTTTCGATGGTCAGCATTTTCAGGTCGGTTTGAAAGCGAACTGACTTTCCAGCGATCAGGAAGGGAAAGCGGAGCTCGGAAGAAAATTGATCGATTACGGTTGGTGTAGACCGTATATAACCATAGACCGTATAACCGTAGACGGCGCGACGCGGCGCAGAGTTCATTAATTTTCGCCGTTTCTCTCCGAAATCGAATACAATGGAACAATTATATCATTCCCGCTGCTCCGTCGATTCGCGACTAACGAGTCGTTTAACCGTGGAAATATGCTTACCGACCTTTTTTCGCCCAACTTTCTTCGATCGCTATTACCGACAAACATTTCAAACTGCTCGTTAAAAAATCGACAGGGATCTCAGGGTTTTCACCTCGAACCGATACGTACCGGTTCGCGGTTCTCTTCGTTCTTGTCGGGGAATTTCTCGTTTCCTGCTTCGACCTGCTCGATCGATTCGGATGTCTCCAAGATCCCGTCGCGCGGAGAATCATCGATGATCACTTTTGTCCGGTTCTCGATTGTTCGTTGCTCGTAATTCGGTTGCTGAAAGCGAAACCGACATTAAAGTAGTTGCAAGTAATTGAAATTTTTAGTAGATAATATTAGGAAGAATTTAGACGGAGTCCAAGTTCGAACGGTGTTTCTTCCTTATAAGTCTTCAGACTTATCGAAGACGAACCGATCCTCGTCCTGCTAGAACCTTCGACGAATCCCGTTAACCGGAGTAGCTGAAAATAAGCGGTGGCTGGTGAGTCGGGATAAGAGAAAGGTGGCAACTTACGGTACCACTGGCTGTCTCCCTTTCTCCCGGCAAATTCGAGCGAGAAGAAAGGCGAAACGGGAAAAGATGCGCGTCGCATTCTTGCAGCTTGCGCCGAAGAAAAACCAGTGAGAGTAGTGCTCTCTGTGTAGTAGTCCTCGAAACGAACACACCCTCTTCGAACAATTCCAAGTTTCGGAGAAATTTCTTTCTTCATAGCCCGCGCGACCCGGCACCGCCTCTTCTCTGCTTAGTTCGACTTGCCGCGGTCTAGACGGCACCCACGATTCTTTTCCTAATTCGCTTTTATGTCCGCGATTCGATTTATGTTCGCGTGCCGATCAAGTTAATTATGTTGTTGGCAAGTACCGTATCAAATTAATTCGTTCCTGGTCATGATACGTTGCGCGAAAATCATTTAGACGGTCCGAGTTAATTGTTTGCTAGAGAATATCTCGAGGAGAAACTTGTCTCGAGAGTCCCGTCGCGTCGTCGCGTCGGTTTCCCGAAAAGGGATGCCCTCGAGTTTTCACTCGCTGTTCGTTTTGAATCGACGTTTCACTGCTCGCGTTTCAAACTCGAATATCGACTTGAAATTCTATACGTACATACCGCGATAGGACGTTCGTTGATAGGTTGACGGAGAAATCGACAAATTATATTTCGAAGCGACGAGTCGCGGAGGAAGAACCGGTCGTTCTCTTGGTTTCTTAGTTTTACCTAGATCGCATCTTCTCTGGAACCGTATCGACCGTGATATTTGAAATTCGAGATAGCGATTAAGGCATCGCAGGACCGTAACAATTGGTTGGAGTTACTTTATGGTTTTTTGATCGGCCGCAAACTGGAGCAGGCGAGATAGAAAGAAGAAAGAGAAAGGGAACCGTCGAGATCGTTTGCGTGGAATTTTTGACAGTAGGTGGGTCAACCCTCGACACACCGGCTTTCATCCGAAAGTGCGCGGAGAAAGTGTTGCTACTTCTTTTTGCGCGAGGACATTTTCGCGTAGCTGAATCGGCACGAAAGTTTAGAGTCGATCGGGAATCGATCGGTCGAAACGCGTCCGACCCAGAAACCGAGCCAATTCTCTAATTACGTCGGAACTTTTCACGGTAATTTTCTCGAATGCCTACGTTTCGAAATCAGGAACGTCGTTGCGAGCGAACAAGTTCGTTCGGAGTTTTCTTCCTTATTATAATCGTGGTCCGCAAACCTTAATTATAGAAGATCGCGCACCGCGAGTGACCTACAGAATTACGTTCGAAGAGAAAGCGCTACTAAGTACCGTGGAATATTCTCGTCTACCCGCGTTTACTTCTATCGAAATTTACGAGCGGAAGACAAAGTTGCGCGGTAATAAACGAACACACCCTCTTCGAACAATTCCAAGTTTCGGAGAAATTTCTTTCTTCATAGCCCGCGCGACCCGGCACCGCCTCTTCTCTGCTTAGTTCGACTTGCCGCGGTCTAGACGGCACCCACGATTCTTTTCCTAATTCGCTTTTATGTCCGCGATTCGATTTATGTTCGCGTGCCGATCAAGTTAATTATGTTGTTGGCAAGTACCGTATCAAATTAATTCGTTCCTGGTCATGATACGTTGCGCGAAAATCATTTAGACGGTCCGAGTTAATTGTTTGCTAGAGAATATCTCGAGGAGAAACTTGTCTCGAGAGTCCCGTCGCGTCGTCGCGTCGGTTTCCCGAAAAGGGATGCCCTCGAGTTTTCACTCGCTGTTCGTTTTGAATCGACGTTTCACTGCTCGCGTTTCAAACTCGAATATCGACTTGAAATTCTATACGTACATACCGCGATAGGACGTTCGTTGATAGGTTGACGGAGAAATCGACAAATTATATTTCGAAGCGACGAGTCGCGGAGGAAGAACCGGTCGTTCTCTTGGTTTCTTAGTTTTACCTAGATCGCATCTTCTCTGGAACCGTATCGACCGTGATATTTGAAATTCGAGATAGCGATTAAGGCATCGCAGGACCGTAACAATTGGTTGGAGTTACTTTATGGTTTTTTGATCGGCCGCAAACTGGAGCAGGCGAGATAGAAAGAAGAAAGAGAAAGGGAACCGTCGAGATCGTTTGCGTGGAATTTTTGACAGTAGGTGGGTCAACCCTCGACACACCGGCTTTCATCCGAAAGTGCGCGGAGAAAGTGTTGCTACTTCTTTTTGCGCGAGGACATTTTCGCGTAGCTGAATCGGCACGAAAGTTTAGAGTCGATCGGGAATCGATCGGTCGAAACGCGTCCGACCCAGAAACCGAGCCAATTCTCTAATTACGTCGGAACTTTTCACGGTAATTTTCTCGAATGCCTACGTTTCGAAATCAGGAACGTCGTTGCGAGCGAACAAGTTCGTTCGGAGTTTTCTTCCTTATTATAATCGTGGTCCGCAAACCTTAATTATAGAAGATCGCGCACCGCGAGTGACCTACAGAATTACGTTCGAAGAGAAAGCGCTACTAAGTACCGTGGAATATTCTCGTCTACCCGCGTTTACTTCTATCGAAATTTACGAGCGGAAGACAAAGTTGCGCGGTAATAAGGAGAACGCGGATAAATCGGGAAGTTGGCGTTTCCGTGGCGGGAAGACCGATGGCCTTCGAGCCGCAACCTTCGGACACGACTGTCAAGCGAAAGTCGTCCTTAACCTTCGCGCGCTTCCTAGGTCGTTTTCACTCGCGATCCTCCGTCGAGACAGACCGGTAAAGTCTAGATCGCGAGGCGTTAGAGGTTCGGAGTGAGAGGCGCCGCCAGTCCGAAGCGCGATCGCAGTGTTGTCGGAACAACAAACTGGAGTGCGAAATACGAGCGGGTATCCTATCGGGACGATTATCGACGTCGAATCGCGGACGAACGAGACCAGAGGCTAGAGGAAAAATGCTTGATCTCTCGAATGACACCCGCAAGTAGATCGAGGTTAAGGATTTCTATGCCCGAAGGTTGACTGCACGGCGTGCAAGCGAGTACGCTGTTCGAGGGTTACGCGTGAGAAATTTTGCGTAAGGGAACGTATTGTTTTCCTCGGTTCTCTATCCTCCGACGTCGAAAGTAACTTCCGTTCCGCGAGAACGGATTTCCTCCGTCGCATGGCGCCGAAACTTCTTATTTCGAATTAACGATATTCGGACGATAGGAAAGTTACCTTTTCGTTGCTCCAGTTTCCACGCGAATCGGATTCCAATGTCGCTGTCGCGATCGCTATCCACGTTAGCGCACCAACCTGACAACAACAATAATTTCTGCGTTATACAGGAAAATATCTCGCTTTCGCTTTCTTTCGATACGCCTATTCGATAAGCCTATTCGCTATTTATTATGAACGCGATAAATGGATACGGCACGTTCGTGGGAACAATTAATATTAATCGATTCGACGATCTATTCGTAATAAAGAAATTGAAAATTTATCCAACGATCTATGTCACTGGGAACGGTTACGCGTGCCTTTGTCGTAATCGATTACACGAATCTATACATATAATAGAACAGAAAACTAGTTTTCGCGCTTCTTCGCCTTCACGCTTCTTACTGGATATCTTCGTTGTGCGATGTAATTATCTTTATAAATTTACTTTCTTCGATTAACACTCGCTGCGAATTCCTTTCGACGATTTCGGTATCGGAAGTTACGGTAGCAACGTTATTATTCGTATTTATATTAGTTTCCTCGAAGCTGTTCGACGAACGACCGACGGAAAAATAACTTACGATAGAACAAAGTTTCATGTCTTTCGCTGCTCGTTGGACGAGATAGAGCTTCCAGTCTCCAGGATGTGTTCGTTGTTCGTGTTGCGCTGGAATTGCCGGTTACGGATCCTCTCGAGTCCGAAGCCTCGATCCAATGCACGCACTGCGGAAAGAAACAGTGTACTACTTCGTCTCGATGCGATACACTTCACTTAACCGGTAGCTCCAGTTATCCCCACGCGTCAAAGAAGCGTCGAGGAGAGCTCTTCGAGATCCCTCGACCAGCATCCGACACTCCTCTACGATCCTCGTCGACGATATTCCATTCGCTGGAATAACTACTCGGACAAACGGAAGCGTAATCTACTTATTCGGTGCAGCGTAATTCGTTTCTTCGCCAAAATCGGATATCGATGAAGCTACGCAGCTTCCCTCCTACAAACTATAGATATACATTTATACGGTAACCTACAGAAATTCTCAGTGGCGACGACTGGCATCGGTATCCTTATATACAATATACATGTTGGCTCTGGTTGTTCAAGCAGGAGGGGGCCCTGACGATCGAATGAAAGGTCGTGAAAGTGACATTGACGGAACCGGTGAATACTCGTACATTTTCCTTTCTTCTTTCCCTCGGCTATTAGTGCAATTAATAAGCGCAAACCACGAGCGCGAACACGACGATGGAAACGGAAAGTTGCTTGCTCCGTTCTTTCCCTACGTATTCCTATCGATCCTATCGATCCTACCGACAAATCGATCGTGTAGTCGCGCTTCTTTCTTCCAACATCGCGGCAACAATGAAAACTGTTACTACGTTCGATACTCCGATAGGAGAATAGATCTACGCGTACAAGTAAATTATCTTTCTTTTCTACTTTTTTCTTGCACGGTTATCACCGGCTACCCCCGATAAATACCTCTCTTTCGACCATTCGATTTTATGCCATACTTTCATTCACCTTTCACTGCTTCTCCTACTGAATTTATACGCATTCTTTTTACCAACCATAAGTAGGAATCCTGTCGTGGGGACCATATCATCGACGAGATACGTACGACGAGTGCGAATTCTTCTGAGCATATAATCCGCGTTTTCGGACTCACGGAATACATATATTGTAAACAGCAGAAAATCAACATAAATAAATATGTAGTAAATATTAATCGATAAAATCGATATTAATTGAATTTTAATTGAGCTCTTATACTTGACTCTGCAACTTCTTTGTCCGCGTTTTTCTTTTGCACCACTCAAACAATTCTCATCAAATTTTGCACGCACGTGCGCATCTACATCCAGATGGACATAGAAAAAAAACGGATATGGTTTTTCGGTAATTATTCCTCCGTGGCAAGCGCGGCCGGCGCGCAGGAGGAATATACGCACGATAATGAGTATGCAAAATCGTTAATTACTCACTTTCCGAGCACAGCCTATGAACTTTTATGATTAATGAATGGTCAGCAATGCATTATTTACATGGTTCGATCATAAAAGTTCATAAATAATGTTCGGGTAATGAGTAATTAATTATTTTGTTGCAGCCGTGCGATACGTACTTACAACGCCTATGTCAATTCTACTGCGCATGCAAAGTGCAATATTTCGGCACTTTGACGACGCAGTATGGTCCCTGAGGCATTTAGAAACAAATTTCTATTAGGGTTTGATGCGCTTTGATGCCTAATAAAGCCAGGAAATCAATTTTTCTCGAATTCGGTCCAAAACGGCACAGGTGGCGCCATCTAGCGGCGAGCGGCGAAACTACGAAAAACTAAAATTTCGATTTTCT